TCAAAGTCACTCAAATCAACTTTCTTCCCCATACTGATGCTCGGTTTGAACTGCAGGAGATTGTCTTGACCATGTCTACATGCCTAAATGCACTGAGTTGCCGCCATGTGATTGGCTGCTTAGAAATTAAGTGTTAACGAGCAGTTGGACAGGTGTACCTAATAAAGTGGCCTCTCGTTAACCACTCGTTACAACCGAGGTATGCAGCAAAGCATTTGTGAAGCCACAACACGCACAACCTTGAGGCGGATGGGCTACAACAGCAGAAGACTCCACCGGGTACCACTCATCTCCACTACAAATAGGAAAAAGAGGCTACAATTTGCAAGAGCTCACCAAAATTGAACAGTTGAAGACTGGAAAAATGTTGCCTGGTCTGATGAGTCTCGATTTCTGTTGAGACATTCAGATGTTAGAGTCAGAATTTGGCGTAAACAGAATGAGAACATGGAACCATCATGCCTTGTTACCACTGTGCAGGCTGGTGGTGGTGGTGTAATGGTGTGGGGGATGTTTTCCTGGCACACTTTAGGCCCCTTAGTGCCAATTGGGCATCGTTTAAATGCCACGGCCTACCTGAGCATTGTTTCTGACCATGTCCATCCCTTTATGGCCACCATGTACCCATCCTCTGATGGCTACTTCCACCATGTCACAAAGCTCTAATCATTTCAAATTGGTTTCTTGAACATGACAATGAGTTCACTGTACTAAAATGGCCTCCACAGTCACTTTATTAGGTACACCTGTCCAACTGCTCGTTAACACTTAATTTCTAAGCAGCCAATCACATGGCGGCAACTCAGTGCATTTAGGCATGTAGACATGGTCAAGACAATCTCCTGCAGTTCAAACCGAGCATCAGTATGGGGAAGAAAGTTGATTTGAGTGACTTTGAACGTGGCATGATTGTTGGTGCCAGAAGGGCTGGTCTGAGTATTTCAGAAACTGCTAATCTACTGGGATTTTCACGCACAACCATCTCTAGGGTTTACAGAGAATGGTCTGAAAAAGAAAAAACATCCAGTGAGCGGCAGTTCTGTGGGCGGAAATGCCTTGTTGATGCCAGAGGTCAGAGGAGAATGGCCAGACTGGTTCGAGCTGATAGAAGGGCAACAGTGACTGAAATAACCACTCGTTACAACCGAGGTATGCAGCAAAGCATTTGTGAAGCCACAACACGCACAACCTTGAGGCGGATGGGCTACAACAGCAGAAGACTCCACCGGGTACCACTCATCTCCACTACAAATAGGAAAAAGAGGCTACAATTTGCAAGAGCTCACCAAAATTGAACAGTTGAAGACTGGAAAAATGTTGCCTGGTCTGATGAGTCTCGATTTCTGTTGAGACATTCAGATGTTAGAGTCAGAATTTGGCGTAAACAGAATGAGAACATGGAACCATCATGCCTTGTTACCACTGTGCAGGCTGGTGGTGGTGGTGTAATGGTGTGGGGGATGTTTTCCTGGCACACTTTAGGCCCCTTAGTGCCAATTGGGCATCGTTTAAATGCCACGGCCTACCTGAGCATTGTTTCTGACCATGTCCATCCCTTTATGGCCACCATGTACCCATCCTCTGATGGCTACTTCCACCATGTCACAAAGCTCTAATCATTTCAAATTGGTTTCTTGAACATGACAATGAGTTCACTGTACTAAAATGGCCTCCACAGTCACCAGATCTCAACCCAATAGAGCATCTTTGGGATGTGGTGGAACGGGAGATTCGCATCATGGATGTGCAGCCGACAAATCTGCGGCAACTGTGTGATGCCATCATGTCAATATGGACCAAACTCCCTGAGGAATGCTTCCACCACCTTGTTGAATCTATGCCACGAAGAATTGAGGCAGTTCTGAAGGCAAAAGGGGGTCCAACCCGTTACTAGCATGGGGTACCTAATAAAGTGGCCGGTGAGTGTATATACAAAATAATTATACACAGTGCACCCACATATATTATGTAAAAAAAATCTTTTTTTTTGGATGTGATTAATCACGATTAATCATTTGACAGCCCTAATATATATACACAGTATATACATGCACATATTTATTAAATATATACATGCATGTGTGTATTTATATATATACAAAATAAGTATACAGTACACACACATATTATGTAAAGACGAACTTTTGTTTTGGATGCGATTAATCGTTGCCCAGCACTAATATATATATATATATATATATAGTACTGAAATTAGAGTTAGTCATTCGTTTTGTCAAAATTAGAGTTACTGTAACAACTATTATTTGTTTTCATACAGTGTAGTGTGTGTGTGTGACGAAGGAATATACAATTTTATTCCAATAAAATATTTCACCAAATGTTATAAGATGCGAAGTAACTACAGTGACTGACAAATACTATGTCTGTGTCTGTGTGTTTGTTATTAAGATGAAGGAATGTGCAATTTTATTCCAGAAAAATGTTTCACCAAATATTATTAAACAAAACATAATATTAGATGTGGTGGAAATTACAGTTGTTCATGATATACTGTACAGGTATCGGAATCATTTATTTAAACTGTTAGACATTGTTAGTGGATAAATTAAATAAACTAGTAAGAGTGTGAAAAGTGTTTTACTTTTATATGATAAAAAGCACAAACCAAAATAACTGCACATCAAGTAAAAGAACACCATTTATTTTAAAAAATGCTTTCATAAATAATTTGATATGCTTTAAACTCCCATGACCCATACAAAATAAACGTTATGAATGACTCCACAAAAAATAAGCAGATAAACAAACTCCATAACTGACACAATTCAATCATAAACCTGAATATGGTCGTCATCCTCAACAGGACAGCGATTACTGGTTGCTTATATTATAATATTTATGAATAGTGTATTAAAATAAAATAATGTTCAGTGAAATATCTGCACTCACAATACTAATATCTGCTATAATAGTGAATAAATTCTAGCAGGTCTTATTGCTTCACAATGGACACATACACGCACGCACGCACATACACACACACACACACACACACACAGCCTATAAACATGAAGCTACAGTGAGTACTGCACTTTTATAAGCTCTCTTAATAATTGATATGATGTTAATATAATTCAGTTGTTCTGAAATGTTAAATATTAAATAAATGTCATATGAATCAAGTAATGGAATCAATCCAGTAGCCCCTGCACAATATCTTCCCCCATTGTGACAGTTGGGTAGTGATGAAAAGATTTACACAATTCACAACATTGGATTGACAGCAAAAAAAAAAAAAAAAAAAAGAATATTTAAATACTTAAATTTAAATCTTAATAAAATTTAAGAAACGGCTACAGTGCTCAGAAATTCTAAAATAGAAGAAACTCAGCAGTTTTTAATAACCAATAATATGACCCCCTACCGTAAAATCACAAGACACAAAATGTACTGAAAAAATAACAAACAACAGGAAAAGATAAATAAAAAGTTAAAAAGCATGATATTCACAATACATATTCAAGTAGGTACCTCTTGTATTAAGTAAATGTTTTCAGCTTCTAAATGCTGTAACAAAAAACAAAGAGCTGATGTATAACATTATTTGTGTGGAGTGTAATGCGGGACAAAATCATTTCAAAGAGATTCTCTTCTGTTGACAAAATGTAACTACTTCAGGTTATGATAGTGGTGCATTTGAGCTTGTTTTAAATTAAATTCATATTCTCAATCTAACTTTTCGAATGGGATCTCAACTAGAGCTAGATTTAAGATAGAAAGGGCTACCAATCACCATCAGAGCTACCATGACAAAAGAAAATGTGTGGAAAATATTGTTTAACTGTTTAATCTGGATTGGCTTGTCAGTATAAATGTGTTTACCCCAGATGTACCTGCGGATCATTACGGTGTTTTCAGGAAACTGTGAACCAAAAAAAGTCACAGTAGTGTATTTGTTCACCTAACGGATAGTAAGTTATTTTATTAGAACTGCATGTTTAGAGGCACTTCAGACAATTGGGGATTTGCTACTTGATTTCAGGGTTTGGATTTGGAACATGTACAAATGTTACAAGGTAATTTATGCAAAGTTATGCATTTATAGTCTTGTGCAATAACCTTCAGTAAAATCCGGCCAAAAATAAAAGTATAAATCATGTTTAATCCTTTTTAGTGAATTACGTCTTTTACATAAGTGAATTTAATTTAGAACATTTTAACTTTTTTTTGATGTGTCGTTTAAAATGTAATTTTCAAATATGGACAAATATTGTATCATTGGCTATTATTATTATAATAATTATTAAATTCTTATTATTATTAGTTTAATTTCTCCTAAAAAAAAATGCAGCACATTTCCACTGTGACTTGATATAAAAATAAATGTTTAATAAGACACAAATGAGTTAAAAACATATGGATTTTAAAAGGCACAAAAACATTAACAATGAAAAAACAAACAAAAAAAAACGATCAAATACAGTTATAGTAGTCAAACGCTTAGCAGAGGCATTAGCAGTGCTTGGTGCAGAGGAATGCGTAATTATGTGCGTTATAGTAAAAGGTATCGTAAACCGTGTCTGTGAACGTGTGTATGTGAGCGTTGTTAAACGAAACTTCAGCAGTGTCTTTCACCCATGCCAGAGGTCATGACTCACCTCGAGAGCCATCAACCCTCAGTGCCATAAAACCAGACAATCTCCGCCCACTCCCATGACAAGTGCTCACGTGATCCAGACCTGGGAGAGAGGACTGGGCAGAGGGCTCAACAAATAAGGGTTACCCTGGAGACAACAAAGCCTCACAATCAACTATTCCCTTGTAATCCTGTTTCAGTACCCTGAAACCCTGACCCAGCATGCGCAGTCAAAACAGAAAAAGACTACATATTTGACACTGTTATTTCCAACTTCAACTTCATTCTATATGAATAGATATATATCAGATTATTTTCATATAGAACCTGAAGAAGTGTGATCCAGTAGAGATACCAATCTATTGTAGAGAGTGTTTTGCTGAACACAAGGGGGCGGGGAGAGGGGGTGGGGGGGCGCTGGGGTCAGAGGGTAACCTTTCCCACTGGAGAGATGTGTGTGTGTCTCTGTCTGTCTGTCTACACATGAGAGCGTGAGGTCAGGTTGAGCCTTAGAGGCTGTCTGCTCCTGAACGGCAGGAACCACAGGATCTTCCAGCGAGTGCCAAACACCTCAGCCATTGCTTGCTGCCACGACCGCCGCGGTCCACTGGGAGAGCGGAATAAATTAAAGTATGCATCATAAGTTGATGTGAAATAATATCACCCTTGAAATATGAACTATAGAGAGAAGCTAAGAGCTTTAGGAGAGACTGGGGCTAGTTGTCACACATTTTACTCAAGTGAATATTAGTCATTGTAGGTTTACGTTTTGAAAATTAATTTCTATATAGACACATAACCTAAACATCTTAGATAGAAAAAGTTATTAAAGTTATGGTAGTGGAAGAAAGATATGGTTTATAGAACACAAACCGATCCATTGTGGCCAATAGTGGGGCATGTTGTCACATTACATTATGGAACCTGCTATTAATTGGCATATTAGAGGTTTTCAGTTAAATAGTAAAACAATTATGAAATACAAAACAATTAAGACTAGAAGACTAAATCAGAAGAAAAACTAATTCTGAATTTTCTTTTTGAAACAAGTGTACTGTTCAAATGTTCAAGGTCAGTAATGTTTTTGAACAAATTCTCTTAAGATCACCAAATCAACATTTAGTTGATGGGTGGATTACAATTTAAAATAACAGTTTTCTATTTTAGCAGCCATTACTTCATTTTTCAGTGTCCTGATCCTTCAGAAATCATTTTAATATGCTGATACTCAAATAATATTTGTACTACGAATTATATCGAATTACTGCTTATAAATAGTTAGTAAAGTAGTTGTTAAGTTTAGGTATTGGGTATGATTAAGGGATGTAGAATATGGTCATGCAGCAGAATAAGGCATTTTAAAAGTACTAATAAACACCCAATATCCTAGCTACCGTTTATGCATGCTAATAAGCAACTAGTTAATAGTGAGAATTGGACCCTAAACTGTGTTACGGAAATCTTTTGTAACGATATAACATTTATTTATATTGACACTTTTGATTAATGTAATGCTTCTTTGCTGAATAAAAGTCTTTAAGGTTTTGGGTTTGAGGCCAGGAAGATTTTTTACAGTTGAGCTGTAACAAGTAGCCCTGATCTCCATGTAATGAGGGTTTAGACGGCATTACATTATTGTTAAATGACTGAAATGATACTGCAAGTTTTGATACTTACATGTCTTCCAATAAGTGCGACATCTTCTCTATGGTCGTTGTGTCCTGCCGTGGAAAAAGTGAAGGATATTGCTTAGTATCAGCAATGAACTATGAGCAAGTTATTTCTTATGAATGTACGAGACAATACAATGACAATTCATGAAATGATTTATGACAGCGAGCCAGTGGATGCAAGGGGGTGAATTGGATCGGTTTTTGATCTTTCCCACGCTGGGAGTGAAAACCACTACAGAATACACTGAGACAAAAGAGAGACAGTGAAGCTGACAGCAGCAACACTCCCTTGGTGCCCTCCTCACCTTGCCAAGTTGGCACAGGGGCAAAAGGGCATCTGCCTGCGGACAATGGGACCGCATGCATAGGGATGCTAAAATCCCCCCTGCTTGCCAGGTGAAGAGACGCGGCAAAGAGACAAAAAAAAAAACAGACTGAATATGTAAATAAGGTGGGATTAACAGAGGCGAGACTGAAGAGCCTGTTTGTGTGAAAAATGGTGGACGTGTGATTGACAGTGGCTTTTTTAGAACAATCTGTGCTTTGTGTGCGATCCACAAGACAAATAAATAAAAAAGGGCTCCGTTAACCATTAGAGGTTATGTAAAAATCCTGACTTGAATTGCTGAAGTCAATGACTCTTCATAAGTCAGATTCACATTGTGAACCGCTAGAGGACACACTCTTGGCCCGGAGCAGCAAGCGTCATGCCAATCCGACGTGGCTGCACTTCAGGCCGAACTGAGCTGCCCTCAGAGAGCATGCGTGAGGAAAAGATCTTTGCAGGGATCAATGGTTAAGTCTGCTTCCACAGTTGCTATGACTGGCACGGGGCTATGAACAACCACCCTGTCAGCCGCTAAATCTTCCAAGACATCACAACATGGGATAGCGGGGTGAAAGAGTAGCTTGTGCGTTAAAGCATCAGGACTTTCCTGGCCTTTGGATAACGAGAAGGCTTAAGGGCAGTACAGGACACAAGATAAGACAGCTTAACATGGGCTTTTAGCAACACAGGTTAGATTAGCGCTGTCAAAGGAAGTCTCCTGCAAGAATGGGTAAACGTCAAAGGTCATCTAAAAGAACGGCTGGACATCAGCTTGTGTAATAATTAAGGATAACAGGATTACATTTTCAGGCTTGTGCAATTGAGCCTGTGGAGGAAGACACGGTTGTCCAAAGGGTTTGGAGAAAGGTTACAGTTGGGTAAACTGACCCATAACAAGTGTAAATTGCTATCTTAAACTTAGTTAACGGTTGGAAATTTGTAATGAGAAGACGGAAGACACTACTCAAACGACGGAGGATAGGATGTGAAGTGGGATGTGTTCTTTGAATCATTTCCACAGCATATGGTGGACGCGTGGGGGTCAAGTGATCATGACTGGGAACCAGAGAATAAGATTAAGGGGAGGTGTATGCTTTTTAAAGGGCTGCACTTTTTTGCCGAATTTAACTAGGACACTGCTAATCCTCTTTTGCATCACATGAAGTCATCAATTAAAGGATAAGAGTCAAACGTGATTATCCCGCTTGCCCCAATCACAGCCATGTTTCAGGCCTAATCAACAGAGAAAGGATGGAGGACATAAAGGAAGTAGAAGAAGAGATTGAAGGACTCAGTAATATACTATAGTGTATACACAGAGATACAGCGTCTGACCACCTTTTAAAGGGATTATGCGTATGCTCACGTATGCTCACCAGAATATGAGGGACCATAATGTATGTCAAACTCTTAAGGGATCTTTTCGGACAAATCATTGTTTGAGAACATATCCGTTCGCGGAATGCTTTAAGACCAAGCCGAATCCTCTGCCGGCTAGTCTTTCCTGCTTCACAGCGAGCGGGACGCATTAGCGGCAATTCCCTTTCCTAACATTGTATTGATTTCAGCAAATCAGTTCGGGCAAATGCAGACAACTCAATTAGGGTTCATGAGCCCAACATCCAGCCACGCAAGAAAAAATGCAATATACCTGAGGGAAGATGTAACCAAAAAGGGAAGTCGTTTTTCACTATTGTAAAGTTAATGTTGTTAAATGGAGAACACATTTTACATTTAAAGGGATAGTCTTGTAAACACAGCCACGTCCAAGTGATCTGACGATCTCTCGCGCGTGTACGTCACTCATTTTTACACAGAACAGAGATTGTAGGTAAGACGGCTAATTAAAATGGTACTAATTTGCGCTTATCCGGGATATTTTAAACCGTCGTAAAAGAAAACAATAAAAAATAAATAAATAAATAAAACAATTGTATGAGTGACGTACACGCGCGAGAGATCACTTCCGGCGCTTGCCGGAAAAGACCGAAGCGCCCGCGCCCTCAGATCACTTGGACGTGGCTGTGTTTACAAGAGGTAAAAACGATATAAATACTGTTCGTTTTCTCACACAAACTGCTCGTTTCGTGTCTTAGGCCATAAATGTGTACTTACATTTACGAGTCATTAAATCATGTTTAATTTGGACTTCTCTGTGCATGCTCTTTGAGGAAGTGACCATAGACCTGCATTATATGACTGACAGACAAGAACGGTTTGACCTAAAAATATCAAAATTGAAACTACTGCGGAAACAAAGACACCTCCTAAAGACACCTAGCTAAAACTTACTTAAAGGGATAGTTCACTTTGAAAGACACCTACTAAAGACACCTAGCTAAAAGTTACATAAAGGGATAGTTCACTTTGAAATTAATTTTTGGTATGTTTTAGCTTACCTCAAGATGGATGCCCTTGAGGTAAGCTAAAACATAACAAAAATAAATTTCAAAGTGAACTATCCCTTTAAGTAACTTTTAGCGTATTCCTAACCTTGGACGTCATAATTGTTATTATCTATATTATCTTTTTTAACAGAAACACAAAATGACCAATAAAGCACCCCCAGCAGCTCAAACTATTTCAATCATACATGGTTTAAACTAAATTTTAGTTCAAATTTTAAGTGCAATTGTTTAAAAATGCTGTTTTGACTGGTTTAATATTCAGTTGTTATGCTTTCAATATACGCCATATGTATTTATCTTGAAAAATCATTTAAAAGCGTATTGTATTTTGAAGAGAGGTTGATGATATTCAAAATGTGTCTCCCACACTCCCAAACCTCTGGATTTAACTGAGCCTTTGTAAGAAAATATTGGATAGCTGATATTTTATTTTAATAAAATATCATGAATGGAATATAATTAGGTAACACTTTATTTCGATAGTCCACTTTAGACATTTTATTGAACTAAGTAACTTTGCAGGTACATGCCAACTTACTGTACTGACCCTAACCCTAAACTAACAGTCTATTAATACTCTAATGAGAGTTAGATGACATGTAGTTGCTTGTGACATGTAGTTACTTATAGTTAGTACAATGTTTAAAGTGGACTAATAATAATTGTAATGTAAATGTAAAACGTTCATATCTCATGTCATTACTTGTCATTATTATGTGATTCCATGATGTGTTTTATCTTAAGGCATGTTTACACCTGGTCACTTCATGCATTTTTACTGATTGGATAATTGTCTGTTTTGTTAAATGTCTTCCATTTACACTTGACCATTTAAAGTCTCAGCAAAACAAATATAAATTCGATCTTCAATTCCTGTGCTATATGCAAATTTACCAGAGTTCACGTCAGCGAAAGCAACAGATATGAGCTGCATTTTATTTATCATCAACTAAACTCAAGATCAAAGACCGCAATAGGAGAGAAAGCTGTATCAGTATGTATGGTAAGATAATTTAGTCTCACTACTTTTAATGAAGAAGAGTGTGTCTTAAGCTTAAGAGTAGGGACACATGAAACCGACGCCAAAGAACTAGCGATGATGAAAGCCGACTGTGTTGTCGCCTCGCGACAGCCAACTGTCAACTATCACATGCGATATGCGCCTGCGTGTTTATGAGACAAATGTCTATTTCTACAAATATATTGCACTGCACCGACTCATTCACTAAGCTGAGCAGCCAATCAGAGTTCTCTCTCTCACCGACACCAATTCTACATGCTGAATCGACCCTCCCAAAACGAGCGTTTGGCCTTCCAAAAGAGGATACAATTAGAAAACAGTGCTTATGCTTTATTTACAACACTGTTCCAGAACAGTACAACTAAAATTTTCGACTGTGTGCTGCGCATTTTTTCGGAGGACTGTTTCCAGAACCTGCGAGAGTACAAGGCCGGCTGTGCACAAAGGCTGATTCTAAAAAGTGGGGCAATTCAATATTTGCATGTACATTCTGGCACTACACAGTCTGTAAGTATGTTTTCATATTTTAAGAATTTGCTACTGACTATTCAAACGTGAGTTTTGAGCAGTATAGAGTAGCGCTTGCTTGTCGTTTCTACGATCACAAATGCAGACATAGTTTTATGTTTAAATAGCTTGGTCATCTGCATTTTCCGGTTCAGAATGATTCGGGCTCGAATTGATAAGGTAGTACCGACATTATTATCACCTGACATTATTGCTTTGGGAGCTGATGTTCCAAATATGGTAAGGGGCGTGACATTTCCGTCACACGCTTATGGTTTTTGGGCCAATCACAATGCACTGGATTGCTGGCCAATCAGAGCACTCCGCGCTTTTCAGAACAATGAGCTTTGTGAAAATCGACACGTTTCAGAAAGGCGGGGCATAGAGGAGCAACAATAATGTACAGTATGTGTAAAATAATTGTGACTTTTTTAACCTAAAACCACGTAAACACATTGAATTAAACCAAATACAGAAAATAATGTTCTTTTTAGAACCATCATATGACCCCTTTAAACCTGCACAGTTAAACTAATTTATGTACTCACTGCGAGGATTCCTTTGACTTGTGTGTAGAAAAGGCTGCTCATTCCACCAAACATAATCAGCCCCATGAAACAGGACCCACGTAGAAGAGCCAACTCATGACGTACTGCAAACTCCGCCTGAGAGAGAGACAAACATTTTACACACATGCAATAAACTCTCATGGACAAATCAGACCATTCCCATGTCAAATTTCTATGCTACACATTTTTGCACCTCAGGCCGTTATGGAAAGTGATGTGACACTGCTTGTTTTTTTTCGCTAAAGGCTTATCTGTGACTATTACAGCAAACACACAAATACTCAAAATCCACAATACTTTGCTTCTTATAGGAAAGATAACGTCACTATCTCTTCCATACAGCTGTTTCTGTGTCTATACAGCATCTCTCGCTTCTCAGCTGCGTCTGTTTACTCACACACAATGCTCCACAGAATAAACAAAAACAGGAAATTGAGCGTTATGGGCTTTTATTTACAGGCAGTCTAGCATTGCCATGATGGCTCAGCTGTTCAGCTGCATTCAAGTTGGAATGATGCTCCTGTGAATTTAAATGCTCTGACGGAAAATTACAGCACTATATTCCTGACTCTTTGAGACATGGGAGAAAACAAGTCCCACAACTTCACCTGCTATTAGTTTTTAAAATAACAACATTTCTACTCTAAAATTGATCAAAGAACACTATGTTCTTAAAATAAATGTATAATTTTATTTAATTTAAACTAATTTAATTTTGATTCTCAAAATTGTGAAATTGTATTTATCACCCACTACCCCTAAAGCCACCAATCATCAGACCATAACTTTAAAAGACAAGACCAGACCATAAGACTAAATAATGAATCGCATCCAAAATAAAAGTTTGTGTTTACATAATATATGTGTGTGTACTGTGTATAATTATTTTAAATATATATAAAATACACACACATGCATGTATATATTTAATAAAAATGTGTTATTAATATATCAAATATTTATATAATATAAATTATGTAGAAATATATATATATATACAGTAAATACATGCAAATATTTCTTAAATATATACATGCATATGTGTGTATTTATATATGCAAAATAATTATACACAGTACACACACATATATTATGTAAACACAAACTTTTATTTTGGATGCGATTAATCGGTCCAAAGGGCACAGGGTCACAGGGTTGTTTTGTTTTGCTTTGTTTTTTAAGAAATTGTTTTCTGTGGAACAACTATGCAATCATCAAGAATTTCTTATCAGGATTTTTTTTAATCAGTCAGTGTAAAAATATTACAGAGCAAATAACATTATTTGAAAGCAGCAATAAAATATGCAATAAAACCATAAAGGCTTAAACTTTGGGAAATTGCTGTTTGCAGGTGTGTTTTGGGTGAAGTGATATGGCATAAGACCAGTACAAACGATCATCGCATGCAAATACAACTGGTGTTAAATTCAGTGTCTCGCATTCAAAGCTTATTCAGTACTTAACAGTAATGCTGATGCCACCTGCAGGTCCCTAATCTCAGTTAAGAGGTGCAAATCCAGTGCTAAATCATCTGCCTCCATTGAAAAGATTCTACTAAACCACAGAATAATAAAGACAGCTAAATGAAAAATAGCATACTACATTTAATAGTTCTTCATAACAATATGCAAATATGCATTTGACAAAATGTAATGCATAATGAGCTGTATTCCACAATGCAATGTACTTGACTTAACTATCTATACGACAAATGAACTGGAAACAATATCAAAATGATTTTTTTTAAATTCGATCAGTCGAATTTTATTTAATCAGCCAAAAGATTTTTGACAAAAAAAAAAAAATATATATATATATATATATATATAGTTTTTTTGTTGTTGCCAAAAATCAAGATTTACAAAAAGTATGCTATAACCATCACTGTCATAGTACTGCCATTGTACTAAAAAATTTATTGCTTGTTAATGAATTTGTGTGGTGTTTTACCATATTACACCAGTGTTGGGTGTAATGCAATTACTAAGTACTTAATAATTTTTCCGTTGAAAAAAAGTAAGGGATTACTCTTAATTTGTCTGTAATTTAATTACAATTACTTCTGATATAATTGCAATAAATATTGTATAGACTATATTCTAAAACAATGGTGGATTTAACATCTAATGTTAAAATGTATGTTTTTAATGTAACTGTCTCCCTTTAAATACTTTGGTCAGTTCAAAAATAATTTATGCAATTTTATCTAATATATTTGAAAGAATTAAAAGAGTAGAATGTCATTCAAATGGTCATGGTTGCTATGGTAATTTAGAAAGTAGTTATAAGTACTGCAATACTTTTTAGAGAGAGAGTAATTAGCACAGTAATTAACTACACTGTTGAAGATGTAATTAGTAGCTACTAGTAATTAATTAATATTTTTAGTGTACCTTACCCCATATTGATTACGGCTCATATTTACTGAACTGTGTTTGCCTAAAATAATGTGCACACTGAATTGGAGGGAAATTATGACTTACAACTGAGCTTTAAAATAGTTATTCAATGATTTAAACCCTTACAGTGGCAGACTTAAAGTACTCGGGACAGTATAAATGTAGGAGTGTAAAATGTAAGATGGTCTTACCCGGTCCACCGAGGACAGGGGCTGGAAGTAGTAGTACTGGCAAAAGTCCAGCACCAGAGTGTAAAGACTCAGAACCTGAGTGTAAAAACACAGCTGCAAAAAGAGCCAGTGGTTATCCTCCCCAACACAGTTATTAATCCTGCACAGAGAGAGAGAGAGAGAGAGAGAGAGAGAGAGAGAGAGAGAGAGAGAGAGAGAGAGAGAGAGAGAGAGAGAGAGAGAGAGAGAGAGAGAGAGAGAGAGAGAGAGAGAGAGAGAGAGAGAGAGAGAGAGAGAGAGAGAGAGAGAGAGAGAGAGAGAGAGAGAGAGAGAGAGAGAGGTATTATAAGAAGTGCAAATTAATATGTTATATGTATTAATATTTATTTGAATACCTAAACTAAAATAAACAAGCTCTATTCCAAATCCCAGTGAGTCAGCTTGCTAACGACATTTCTTTTAATACAGTTTGATCATAACATGTAGTTAAACTAAACGTCATGATACTAATAGGCATAAAAATTCACAACCGCATCACTTCTCTAAACATCCGTGCTTCACTATGCACTTGGAAACAGAATCACACGCAACAATATAAAGTCTATATGGACATTACTTTGACACAGTCATCTAATAACAGATTACACTTAAATGTAAAAACATGTATATTCTGTAAAGCTGCTTTGAAATATGTATTGTGAAAACGCTATACAAATAAATGTGAATTGAATTGAATCATTGATGGGATAATAAAAAACTGGCTGACATGAAAGTGTTAGATTAAAATGGTCAATATAATTTAAGTTGGATGTCCACCTTAGAGATAATCACTATATTCATTTTGAAACCATCATATTTAAAAAAATATTTATATTAAATATCATATCATAAAATAAAATATTTATTGTTCCTACTGTAAACCATATTAAATCATTTGGGGATCTCCTTTAAAGCAGTGTAATAGTCTTTCAGACTTATATTTTATTTAATCAAATTTTTCTAGATATTTTAATGACTATTTATTAAATAAAAGTATATCAACTTTATTTATCAGAAAAGAATATGGTTAAAGAGATTGTTTTGAACAAGCATTAACTTTAACATTATTTTAGCTAAAGTATCTGCATAAAATGTGTTGCATGGTCAATTTTCAATACATTTTCAAATCATATACGATGAGTAAACAGCGGATTTTCCATAAGGTGTGCCTTTAGCACCAATCCAACCTAATAATGATCAATTAAATAAAGACTAATTAAATAAAATTGATTTAAGTTAGAAAAATATTGATTTGGCATAAATATGTAAATGCAAAAGAAACCATACAGCCATCAATGTGTTTTAGGTTGCGGTCTCTGTCTGACATTAATGCTATTCTCTTGCATTTTAAGACAAGTCAAAGCACATGAAGAAGCACAAGGAACACAAGAGAAGAGAGTTGAGAAAGCGGGCAGAGAAGGCCAAAAGAGAGAGAGGAGAGCAAGGCAAGGTTGAACTGTTAGTCAAACGAAGACGGAAAACGATATGGCCTCGTTTTTTTTTCCCTCCGCTTCCCTCGGCCATTACAGGCGATGACAGGGAGTCACGATTTGCTGAGTCCAGACAGACAGCAGCCTTCTTCAGCTGTACTGTAGAGCTGGACTTAACACGGGCTTCTCTGGTCACTCGATATCGCCTCTCCCTCTGTTTTACCCCTCTACAGAGACTTCATTAAACTTCCTCCATACAAAACCCACCAGGAATGTAAAGCTGTCTGGGGTACAGGGTCCTTTAAGGTTATACTGTGACCTTAGGTCAACATGCCAGATTTCAGTTTGGATCCTAAACCATCGTAAAGATCTCAGCACGTCTCACATAGACATAACAAGCCTTAGAGTACCGTATAAAATTACCTCTTTTTTTTTTCTCAATGTTAAACAGTTGAAAACTAATTTATTGGACAATTTATGTACAAAATACATGGATAAGATATAGATACTGAACTTTTTTAAAAGACTCCCATGTCTCAAACAAAAGCTGGTAGAAGTGAATTGACTTTATTATTTGTATTTCTTGTAAAAGTTTTACCAGGGACAGTGGTGGTCCATGCGACGGACACAGTGGCCGCAGCGGCTGCAGTGGTGTGACCTCTTTGGTCTCATCATGTTGCATTTATTGCACAGTTCCCAGTCGTCTCTCTCTGAAATGACAAGGCAAACAAAACCTAAAACAAAATCACTAAATCATCCACTTTTCAGTGTTGAAACCCGTACAAAGCAAACTGTAATTCTAACTTTGGCAAAAAACAAAAAACACACAAAAAAGGTATTCATTGCCATCTAGTGGTATTCAGAGAGACATTTTATTTTCTCAACTTTACTGAATAATAAAAAAAAAGGGAAGGAAAGAAAATGAAGAAACAGGCAAGAGAGAAGATGTACAAGAGCAGGACGCTAAACATTACAACAAAAACATTATATTTATTGTTCTATACTTTTAATACCAAACTTATTTCATCAAGACATGATGTCCTCAGAGGACATGACGTTCTGAAATCATTCTGGACTTAGTGGAGCCTATTCCAATATTATGATTTCTATATATTCTACGCTTATTATGCCTCAAAGGGGATATACATTATGAAATCTAATCTACTAAAAGTCTAAATACTTTGGATTTTGGGTTATACAATCATTAATATCACAATAGATGATCCAATAAATATCCAGAATAATGTTTCAAAATCACTATGATGTAATTTGTGACTATACACTTTCACCTTTTCCAAAATCACTATTACGTCATGAAAGGAATGGTCCGAAAGTAACAGGAGCAAATACCCCAAAATCTTTAATGTGGGGACAAAAATGTCCTTACAGAAATAAGATATGTGGCATGCCAAAAAATTGGGGTCACACGTTTACATAAATGACTGTTAAGTTAACAGATTTCACTAGTTGCATGGCTAAGTGTATTTCAATCCACTTAACCAAGATACAGTGGGGGAAATAAGTATTCAACACGTCAACATTAAAAAAAAATGATGACATTTGTATTAACTCAAGAAAATAAAATCGTTTTGACAATGGTGTCGTCTGAACGCGGAAAACTCAAAGGAGAAACGTCTCCGTTTTAAGCATATCGTTGTCGTGTAAACGTTCCCTCAATATGTTCAATACTTTTTTCTTGTGTCATTTCACTTTATTAAATATAACTTGTTTTATGGATTGTAATGTGTTCTTGATCTACGTAGATTTCTTGAGGTAATACCATGTGAATTGCTGCATTGGAAAGGTGTTTAATAAAAAAACTTGTTGAAAACTTATTTCCTCCACTGTACATAACAGTCCGGTTTGTTTCCCAGCATAAAATAACCAAAGGGACATAATCTTGATATGAAGAAAGAGTGGCCACATTTGCAGCACATCTACATATTGTATCAATACCAAGCAAAATAGAATGTTGTTATAATTATAATTGCTCATTACATTTTTTTTTCTGCCTAATACAACCTCAAATGCCCCCCCAGATAAGTCAGACAACTCTTCTGAAGGTTGTCTTTAACATCATTAAGCCAAGCTGATATCAGGTAATCTAAGGCATGACTTGCTAAGACCGGCCATTCAGTGATAACTAGCTTAGCGACAAGCTGTTCATAGTATCAGAGTCCTAGCTGAGTCTAATTAATCTTTCGGCAAACTGCCACTAACAAATCCTTTAAGAAAATCTAACAGCATGTGGTGACTGGTAAAGGTTAGAGCAGGACAAATGACAGAGATCTAGAAAAAAACTCATCCATGTGATAGTGTTGCACTAAATAGGTGAATTTGAGTGCAAAAACAAAACTGCTAGAATAATTAAAGGTACTCTGTGCCCTCTAGCGGTAAAAAAAAAACAACTACATGCATTTCGCAGCAGAACATTGTTTTGGTTGTGCTTTGGCTCTGCGTGAATGTGCGGATGAATATGACCCTTCGAGATAATGCTTTACAATGAACTCCGTTAGAGAGTTAAATATGGCAATGTATTCTGTTCAATTACATATCTTACTCACCTGTTCAGTAATAAAAACACCATTTCTTTTACAACATTTCTAATCCCCCAGGTCTCGCAATATCTAAAAGCAAAGTCAATACCGAGGGGCTGAAGACGTCATGCACATGCGTATTACGGGTTACAATCTCTACAGCGTTTCATCACCATATAATGGCCTGGCAGCAGAATACAGCGCTTTAAGTCGTTTTCGCGGATCCGTGTGAATGGGGGTCGTTTTGACAATGGTGTCGTCTGAACGAGGAAAATTCAAAGGAAAAACTTCTCCATTTTAAGCATACCGTTGTTGTGTAAACGTACTCCGTTCTGCGTTTTTTAAAACCGAGGATTTTTCCCAGAAGTTCGAGTTAGCATACTTCATGTAAACCTACACACCTCATATATATACACATACACTCACCTAAAGGATTATTAGGAACACCATACTAATACTGTGGTTGACCCCCTTTCGCCTTCAGAACTGCCTTAATTCTACGTGGCATTGATTCAACAAGGTGCTGAAAGCATTCTTTAGAAATGTTGGCCCATATTGATAGGATAGCATCTTGCAGTTGATGGAGATTTGTGGGATGCACATCCAGGGCACGAAGCTCCTGTTCCACCACATCCCAAAGATGCTCTATTGGGTTGAGATCTGGTGACTGTGGGGGCCATTTTAGTACAGTGAACTCATTGTCATGTTCAAGAAACCAATTTGAAATGATTCAAGCTTTGTGACATGGTGCATTATCCTGCTGGAAGTAGCCATCAGAGGATGGGTACATGGTGGCTATAAAGGGATGGACATGGTCAGAAACAATGCTCAGGTAGGCCGTGGCATTTAAACGATGCCCAATTGGCACTAAGGGGCCTAAAGTGTGCCAAGAAAACATCCCCCACACCATTACACCAAAACCACCACCAGCCTGCACAGTGGTAACAAGGCATGATGGATCCATGTTCTCATTCTGTTTACGCCAAATTGTGACTCTACCATCTGAATGTCTCAACAGAAATCGAGACTCATCAGACCAGGCAACATTTTTCCAGTCTTCAACTGTCCAATTTTGGTAAGCTCTTGCAAATTGTAGCCTCTTTTTCCTATTTGTAGTGGAGGTGAGTGGTACCCGGTGGGGTCTTCTGCTGTTGTAGCCCATCCGCCTCAAGGTTGTGCGTGTTGTGGCTTCACAAATGCTTTGCTGCATACCTCGGTTGTAACGAGTGGTTATTTCAGTCAAAGTTGCTCTTCTATCAGCTTGAATCAGTCGGCCCATTCTCCTCTGACCTCTAGCATCAACAAGGCATTTTCGCCCACAGGACTGCCGCATACTGGATGTTTTTCCCTTTTCACACCATTCTTTGTAAACCCTAGAAATGGTTGTGCGTGAAAATCCCAGTAACTGAGCAGATTGTGAAATACTCAGACCGGCCCGTCTGGCACCAACAACCATGCCACGCTCAAAATTGCTTAAATCATCTTTCTTTCCCATTCTGACATTCAGGTTGGAGTTCAGGAGATTGTCTTGACCAGGATCACACCCCTAAATGCATTGAAGCAACTGCCATGTGATTGGTTGATTAGATAATTGCATTAATGAGAAATTGAACAGGTGTTCCTAATAATCCTTTAGGTGAGTGTGTGTATATATATATATATATATATATATATATAATTATTTGCTCCACCTTTTTCCTACGCTCCATGACGCTTTGTGCAAATTATGGGAGTAACCTCCATTAAACTATCAACAATCAGCAACTGCCAATAAACTTGTTTAAAGGTTGGCTCTATTAATGCAATAATAATAATCAGCAAAAACTGGGTATAATGAGGTGACATTCTCCTCATTACCAAACCATCAAACATCAAAAGGAAACTTTCAAATGTAAATGTATTAACAAATTACTATCAGCAAACCATGAATAACCTCAAAAGCTCAGACGAGTCTTTTAGCAGCATATTGCACCAAAAAATGCACCTGCTCCAAAAATGTTCCATCATTAACTGAACCATTGATGGGTATTTCAAAGTCTTTCCCCCCCCATTTTGACAGATAAATGTTGCATTTCCAAGCTTTAGAAATACCGATTACTCATTTAAGGAGAAAAGGAGAAAAAAATATGTTTTAAAGCACCATTTGAAAAACCGGGAAAGAGATGCGAGAAAAGAGATTTGGGGACAAAAAACAGGAGAGCAGATCTGTCACAATGTCTGTTATCTTTTTCATATTAATACAGCAGAACATAAAGAAAAAAGAGGATAATCAATACTAATCAAGAGGAACAGAACACAACTAGTGGACTAAAATCTTTTGTCACAGACATTTTTGTGATATTTATGTCACATTAAAATATCAAGCATTATGTTATTTTCCTGATGGATGAAAATAGAGCAGGACAGAAAATGTACAGCTTATTCAGTCAAGCTGACTGATAAAGATTGTTTGTAGTGCAGCCTTATTACCTGAAATGATTGTTTCAGTCTTTTTGAGTGGAAGTTCTCCGAATCAAGCGTGCCACCCATAATTTAAAATGCAGCAGGCTCGTTCAGAAAAAAAGTGGATATTTACTTCTAGGTGTAACTGAGAAAAATGTCCATCATGTGTTAGTTTACTTTAAAAACAACATTTAGTTTTGTAGCGTCATGTATATCATACAGCATAATCAGCCAATTAAAATCTAATTCATAACATAATTATATAATAAATTTATATAATTTAGAACCAATTACTGATTATTACATCATAATACATTTTCAATCCAGATGAACATTATGAAAAGGGTGTGTTCTGTAAAGTCAAGTGTACTTGCAGCTAAATAACACAGACATGCTAAACCATTAACTAGCTAGTATATATCATCAAGCGTAGCAAAGTAACAAACGTTCGATTTCACTTATGTACTGAAACATAACAGCTATTTATAGGAGCAAAATTAATTCGGGAGGTATTTCATACACTTCCATACTCAAAATACACTGTATCACCTAATATCTCAGTGTCTACAGAAACCAACAGATCCCTAAACGCCAAAAATAAAAGATAATTAAAAAATATTCAAAAGTGTACCAAAGACAGTTCATTGGGTCACTTGGACATTACTGTAACATTCTGAAAATGGTCTAGCATTAAGTGAAGGTATTAAGACAGTCACTGAACACTGAGGTATACTGCCCTCATCTGGTTAGTTAGTTGAACTTCATGAAGAATGGAAAGAGCAAAGTTCTATATTAATATTCGATTAATGCATTCTGAACTCCAAGGTGAAGAGTTTTAAGGCCACTTATTAATAAATCCTTCAACATGTGTGAAACAAAACTATGTACTAGAATACAAGAATAGCTATGCTGTGTTAGAGAAAAACAAAACAGAAAGTATAGGTGAGCATTGTTTGTCTCATACCTCCAAGTGGAATTTTGGGGTCCTGAGCAAGTTTTCCGGGGTCGGCGGTGGAAGCCCTGAATAATGCTGAGACACACAGCAGTGATGCTAGATAGTAACCTGGAGAAATAGAAGAGAGAAATTTCACATTTATCACAAAAGTCACTATAACTAGACATGAATTGGTGTCAAGGAGACACGTAGTGAGATTTTTATTACATTGCTATTTTTAACATGTTAATGAAAACTTAAAACTTCTCCAATGAATTCACCCAAACCACTTAATGTACAGACAAATGTGGTTTTATTGATAGCACACCTAAGGATGAAGCGATCTAATTTTGGTTTTGTTACAAAAGAATTTAAAGAATCCTGAAAAAAGAAAAAGAAGAAGATATTTCCACAGAAATATTAGGCAGCACAAACACTTTTAACATTGATAATAATAAGAAATGTTTCTCGAGCACACAACCAGCATATTAGAAGAGTGAAGACTAGAGTAATGGCTGCTGGAAATTAAGCCTTGCCATAACAGGAAAAAATACCATTATAAAATATATTAAAACTCTTATTTTACTGTATTTTTGATTAAATAAATGCTTCCTTGGTGCAACCTTGGGGATTTTACCGACCCCAAACTTTTGAACACTACACCTTTTCATTCATTGACTTGCATTTCTACGCATGCAAAATGCAGAGGACAGGAAATGAAATCTCAATTTTAGTGCGTTCCAAAGTTTAAGTTTAGTGAACTCTGACCGGTGAATTTGTATCACTCGAAGAGGTGTGACCAACAGAAGATCAGTGTTTCACGACGTGACCTCTTAACTGAATTAAAAGAATGCACACTTTGTACGTTGCAGTAGATTGCATATTTTTAAATTTAGGATGTATCATACATTGAATAATGTTATTTAAAAAGACGCTGCAGAGTGTGATGTCATATTACGACCGTTGAAGTGTCCATAGATATTTAGCATGCTTAAAGTCTAGTGCAGGGGTGGGCAACTCCGGCCCTCGAGATCCACTTTCCTTCAATGTTTAGCTCCAACCCTGAACAAACACACCTGAACAAGCTAATCAAGATCTTCAGGATTACTGGAAAGCAACAGATATGTAAATTTGATCAGGCTTGGAGAAGGAAAGCGGATTTTGAGGGCCAGAGTTGAACAGCCCTGGGCTAGTGTTTGCTTAAATATTTAGCCCCATTCTTCGTTCACAGAGTGTCAGGTTTGTTATTAGTTCTCAGTGGTAGAAAAAAAAAAAACTTGTTATGCATAAACCTGTCCTGCTACTCTACTTACTCTCATGGTGAACGTGACCTCATTATGTCAATTGCTCTTCTCTAATCTAAGAGGAATTCAGGTTTTAACTGACTCATTTGTAGCTTTTCCTTATGACCTGCACAAACCAGATTTTTTCAGAAACCAGAGATTTCAGTGAAACTGAACTACTGATTACAACACTTAATAGGGGCTGTTATCAATAGAACAGGGTGAGAGCACTTACAGACCACAAGCGTAGTGGGTATATGTCCCTCCGCATAGTGTGGCAACAGCACCAGTTTGGGAATGATGAAGCTGTTATAGAACCAGACAAACAGCACCATGCTCATGCAGAACCAGCCCATGGGGTCCACCACAAAATGCAGTCGCAGCTTCATCCTTCCGGATAGCGTATGTGCCAGGATAACTGAAGCAGCTCCTGATCGTAAACAGAAAGCAGAGTTTGGATCAATGTTGGCCAAAAGTACCATTTAATATGGAACATATTGACTTGTCCATGGCCAAAATAGGATATGAAAAATGAACCAGCTTGTATAAGAACGTCTTCACAAAGCACATCAATTGAATTCAAATGGAGCAAGCATACAGCGGGGTTAAAAACATTCTAAAATCTTCTATAATAATACAATATTTGAAAATCAAAATCTAATTTATTACCAGAAGTACATTAAAAGTATAAAAACAATTAAATGGTCATTACAAAGAAAGAAAAGTCGCAAAGTCGTGTGGCGCTTTGTACAGTTGGTCATATGTTCTTGCTTCCATTGCTTTTTGGATCATTTCCAACCATGCTGGAGAACATGACCATCAGGTTTCTCACAAACCTGTGGAGTTTATGCAGCTCGAGAGACATACCAAATACATGACATTCTGAAAAGTATCAAATATGCTCTTCGTATTATTATCATCCAGATAATATCTTTAATTATAAAAATAAATAATTAAATAGAAGCACTTTCACAAATGTTCTTAACCAACATATTGGTCTGTTAAAAAATAAAGTATTAACTTACAGCTGATTTTTTTTTTTTTTTTTTTTTTGTATGGATGGTATGACACCTTTACAGCGGTGTGCATTGTGCTAAAAGTTAACACATTTTACAGGTTTCCATTTTGACACATTTTACAGGTTAAATAAATAACATTACTTAAACTATTAACCTTCCCCGGAAAAAAAAACAGTCACTATTTTGGATTAACAATTTAACAATGCAATTAATGTTCTATTTATTAAAAACAAGTATATTCTCATCAAGTTAGTGTCTTTTAAGCATTTTTACATTTGTTCCAAAATAATGGCCCAGTTCCACAGCCAGGGCTTATATTAAGCCAGGATTAGGCCTTAGTACAACTAGGGCATTTAAGTAGTTTTTATAAATGTGTCTTAGAAAAAAACATTACTGGTGTGCTTCTTGAGACAAAACAATGCCACCGAGATATTTTAAGATATGTCAGTGCAAGTTGCTTTCAGTTAAACCAGCTAAAACATGCATTTTATTCTGGGACTAGCTTAAACCTTGTCTGTGAAATCTATTTTATTTGTGAACTAATGTTTAGCTGTTCTTTTTAATAGTTATAATAACTTGTTTTCAGATCATCAGTCATCAAAGTAAACACTGCAGGTGTCATGATAGTCGGACATGAAGATGTACCTTTAATCTCCAAAAAGGTATCTACTAAAGTTGTCTGCTCACTAAAAAACCCTCGCAGATCGTATTTTCAAGTCATTTCAGATGATTTTGTTCATTCAGTCTGATTCGCGAAACGTGCACGAAAACAAGAGGTGGAATTTATCATGTGACTGTGAACAGTCAAATCACAGCACAATGGAGGAATTGCCTCCTCTTACACGACGGTTCCCCATTAATTATCAATTACACCCCGGCCAAACCCACAGCATGGGTCTGTTAAACTCAGTGGGCTCAGGGGCAAGAGAGACTCCTCCTCACCAATTTCTTAAGGAAGGAACTGGATTAAACATTCTGAATGATATCAATCCACAATCTGATTTGTGACGCGGCCTGGAATCATAACCACACCATGTTGGTTAATTTGGCCAAAGTAGATCTGGTCCCCCGACTGAGCCTGGTTTCTCCCAAGGTTTTATTTTTCATTCTGTCACCGATGGAGTTCCTTGCCACTGTCACCTCTGGCTTGCTTAGTTGGGGACATGTAATGTTCAGCAATATTATTGATTTGACTGTACTGACACTGTACTGATGAGAACTGGCTTGAGCTGGACGATGACATCGCAGTTTTCTACAGAGCTGCTTTATAGTTGAATTGAACTCATTTCATATTTGATGATATTTACAGTTATTGAACGGTATAGTGGCTACTCTGTCCTTGCTAAAGGCCGCAGAGAGACTGAGACAGGGACTCTATGCATTTGTGACACAAAAATAAAATATTGGTGAGGCAAAAAGTACTTTTGATTTCTTTTCCTTATTGTACAGACTGATATTTCTTGACGGTATGAGGTTTTGTGGTCAACAAAGAATACATTCTCCCTGCTCACTTCCTCTTCCTATCTTCAATCAGTGAACAGGTGACTAATATTCCCATTTCAACGTAATCCCGTGACCCCCCACCATGATCATGTGACACAAGCAAAAACCCATTAACTCTCATGTCTACAACAAACGAAACGGAACTGAACCAACACTGAGCTGACCTCAGCTGAACAAAGACACTATTTTCTTTTAAAACTTCTTTACAGCAGAATTGAACTCTGTTTGCATCATTGAAACATTATTTTTCCTGTTTATCCCTGTAAAACTGCTTTTAACAATCTATATTGTATAAAGCGCAATATACATAAAATTGACTTGAAATAAGCTGCCTCACGGTGCAACTTTAACCACTGTTGTCGCAGTTGGAAAGTGTCTTTTTAGAAAAACTAGTGATTTATAGACTTTTTTGTTGTCATGTTTTGTAATATTTGTATTGTTTTATTTTTGTGCTTTGGATTATTTTTCGACCCTGTACCTTTATTTAACAGACTGTAGCCTAGAGCCAATTAAATAAGGTGCTACAGAAGATTTGTTAATATAAAAACTTGCATATGAAGGAAGTGGATGGATGAAGCTTACAGTACATGAATCAGAGTAGTATTACTTTAATGGTGTCAGTCCACAGAAACCAGCAGCATCACGGTGGTCCTATCCATGACAACCTGGAACACACAAAACAAAAGCTGGATAGTTGTTTGTTTATGGAAACTCACCCTAGACAAAAAAAAAAAAAAAAAAAAAAAAAAAAAAATCATTTTAGTCCATATATATGCATTAGGCCTATATTTTCTATCTGGAGTTTCTATCAAAGGTTATCCCGAAACTGTTTGTTCAAGAATAAATTACAGCATTTTGAGATTTTCAGTAAAGGTGATGATGAATGAGGGTCACATGAGACACCTACTGGACTGCACTTGCTTTGTTCATGCATACGCCCATGTGATTAAACAGAATTTTTTTTAGCAGTTCTAATAGGCACATGAAAAACAAAATAAATAAAGCCAAACGATTACATAGCTGTGATTTCTCATAAAACAGAATGTCTCTGCATTTTACAGCAGATCTGGGCTGACAGTTCTCTTGATATTAGGAGAACAGCCATAGTTTAAGAACAAATCAGTTCATTTCATAAACCGTCCAAGCTAATAAAAATAACTCATGTAAACGTGTTTCTATTTTTAGGGCATTCCTGTTCTATTTATGTATACACATCATATAGTCATTCACTGTTAGTAAACATGTCCTGGCAGTGGCTCATGATGAGTGATGCCCACGAGGATGATACACAGCTGAATAAAGATCAAAGGCACAACCTGCGAAACGGAATATGACATCGGACTACCGATTCAAAGTAACACTTACTGATTTTCTCACACGGTGATGTCTTAGTTGGGTGTCGAGGGTTTGGCGTTGGTTTCAAAGATCGAAAGATTGGAGCTCTTCCTGGACTGTGATTGTACGGAAGCCGCAAAGCTTTTTTCATTGGGCAGCGCCACTGAACTGTCAAAATTGCACGAGTGCGGTCTAAATGTGAGAAAACCTTACAGTCTTTGGAGACAACGCTTTATTTATCTACGGATAGCCACTACTACTGTCATAATAAAATAAAACCTAAAGTAAATAAAATAAAATTAATTAATCAAAATAAAATTGACAACTACATTTCTTGGGAGACTTCTATGAAAGATTCGATACGTTTGGTGAACTATTATCCAACATAAAATTAACCTAACATGAAAAATCGCATGTTTTAAAAGCATCAAAAATAAAATAAAAATTATCCACTAAAAATATACATTTATCAATAACTAAAAACCAGCATTTCGTCCCAAACTAGCAGTCTACTCAGTTTTAAACCGTGTAGTAACAAAATTGCTTGCAAAAACTGAAAATCACACAATGAATAGAAGATACAACTGAGATTGATGATATGTTTTGAAGAATAAAGCATATCCTCTCAGAGAAAATAGTTAAATTCCGTTACAACACTAAATGTTAATTAAATAAAACAAAATGAAGGTGAAAATGAACAGAATATATTTTATTTTATCAAAGCGTACATTAGTAAAAAATATTATCATGTTGAGGACAAGATCAAGCTCTATGAGTTTATTGCATAGACAGTAAGGTTTATTGACTTTTATTTTGAAGCATTTCCTGCCGTCAGTCTGTTTTGTTCAGTAGCTTCCTGCAACACTTGAAATGGAAATGACTCTGACGGCGTCCGCATTATAAGCATTCTGAAGGGCTGGACAGTGAGACCTATGCGTGAGACACGGTGTGTTTTTGTAAAATGAATGCTCGTGTGAAAATCAGCGGAAGGGAGCCGATATCACTAGTGTCCAGATGTGTGGAGGCCGCGCTCGAGACGGCGCTGCGCAGGGCATTTGAGGTGGCGCTTGAGATCGCGATCAATGAGTTCAGCAGACTTCTGGATAACAGCGAGAAACAGCGGGAGAACAACCATCTCACATTACCAACACAGCATCTCAATCATGGGGAATCAAATCAGAGCAGCTCGTACAGTCTGCGAGAGGATACACCGCAGAAACACGATGAAGTGCATGCATATGTGGATGAGAGTGAAGGGCTGATGAAAGGATCTTTTGACGAAATATCTCATCATGATGGTCGTGTACGATCACAAGAAATTAACACAACACCTATACATGGTGCGTTTAACTTGAGTAGCCTATCTCAAAATGAAAAACAGAAATCATGTGATTAGATACTGACAGTAATCACAGTTGTAGACAACCAAGTCATATTTAGACCCTTTTACAGCATGATGGAAAGTCAAGAGAATGAAGTCCATTTTCTGAAATAAGTCAGTTTTTGAAAGAAGTTTCTTGTGCTCATATTTTAATCAAAAATACAGTAAAATTGTGGAATATTATTACACTTTAAAATAATCGTTTTCTATTTTAATATACTTTAAAATATAATTTATATATGTGATTCAAAGCTGAATTTTCAGCATCATTACTCCAAAATAGTACTCTAAAAATAGTAATGTTTCCAAACTTTTGATCGGTACTAAATATATATATATATATATATATATATACATTTTTTTTGTTTTTACTTTTGTCATCACTTATGTCTTCACAGAGCAAGATACATCAGACCAAAAGGAGCTCAGCATAGATCTCATACAAGATGTACATCCAAGCGATCAAGGCGTATCATTTCAGCCTGCAATTGAGCAAGTTAAGGTGAAAAGTGAAAAGTCAGATCCAGAAGAACTTGCACTGAATAGCAGCTCTGGATGTGGTTCTCCTTATTCTAGTCCAGACTATAGTTTTGACTCAACTTGTAATGAGGAGTTTGTGCACAACAGAATGACTTTAGTTCCGCCAAAACTGCTAGAAGACTGGAAGCCTGCTCCAGAGAAGCCACAGAAGGAGACAGATCCTTTGGATCAAGAACCCAGCCACAGTCAAGGTAATGGTTTATCAATAAAAGTGTTCCGCTGTGCTGAAATAGTGTCAGTGATTTATGTTTTATTTCCTCAGGCTCCTCAAAGATCAATTTGCCATCCAGTGGCTGCGTCTCTCTAGTCTCCACCCCGTTTCACAACCTCTACCTATCAGAAGACGACAGGACATCCCTCACGCAGTCAACGCAAAACTGTAATGAGCAGGTGAGGACAAACATCCATTCCAGCCTGTATATTTGTAAATTATGTAGCCGTGTATTACACAGTTCAAATGATCTGTGTTATCATGCCGTTCAGAATCACAGAACCATATTAATGAATGTGGAAGAAGGCACTGTCGCAACCCGGCCGAGAAAGCAGCAGCTTTTCCCTCCAGGGTGCAGCCCGTATCACTGCAGCATGTGCAGCCGAGACTTCAATCGCCTGGAGAACCTGAAGACTCATTTAAGGATACACACTGGTGAGCGTCCGTATAGTTGTTCATTGTGCGGGGTCCGGTTTCGGCACTCGGGGGCACTGACGCGGCACTTCCGCATTCACACCGGGGAAAAGCCGTATGTGTGTGAAGAGTGTGGGAAGAGTTTTAGAAACTGTGGAGGTCTGCGCTACCACCAGAAATCACACCATCCTAATACTGTCTTTGAAACATCACGCGTATAAAATGATTTCGTTGGTCAGTTTTGATAGAAAGCTTGTTGTCGTGTTCAGTCAGGTTTGAGGTTCTCAACAACTCGGAACCATCTGTAGGGGAGAGCGGGGCTAGGTGTAACACACATGGTTTAAAACTTCCCAGTTCCCACACATGCTAGCATGATGAAACTTAGTGTATTAATTACTAGTTGCCATATCAACACTATATAGAGAAAAAAATGCTCTAAAATACAGACAAATCTGATATTATTTCAATCTTAAATCTGTTATTTAACAGTTGAGATAGTTCTTCAATGCTTCGCTAACCAGCAGAAGACACTAGCAGGGTTTAAATCCCAGTTGCAGGGGCACGTTGTAACACTGTGTTACAATGTGCCCCTATTAGAACTAAGCTATTCTATTCTATACTTTTATGAATTCTATTGAGAAATCATGAGAAAAAGGTAAACAAAGACTGAGTCAATGTTCAGAAATAATTTTTTTTTTTTTTTTTTTTTTACTGTTGTATAGCTGTTTTCCGGTGTGTTTGTTGTCAAACTAAAAAAATGGATTATTTTTAATTATTAAAAAATGGCATTATTTTATTTGAAGTTAATAATTGTATTTTATTGATACAATATTTTAGTTTGTCTATTTTTTTTTTTATTTAGATCAGAAAACATTTTAAGCTGTCATATGGTCATGTTACAATGTGCCCCTCACATGTTACAACATGTCCCACCTATGGGGCATGTCACATTTCACTTGCATTCTTTTAGGGTATATTACGAAAAAAGTATACACTGTATTAATAAAACAAAAAAAACACATAATTGTACTAGACGTGGGAAATTAATGTGGGGAAAAAATACATTCTCTGAACCCCAAGTGTATTTACACAAACTGAGAAAGTCAAAAGGTGTTAGGTTGTGCCCCGCTCTCCCCTAGTTGTTCTGTTGGACCTTGCTGTGAATTTGATATTTTTGAGTTATAGACCGTGAAACATCAACAGCTATAATAAAGTTGTGTGTTTGTGTGGAAATGTTGTAATTTTTTTATCTGGATTTTTACCTAATTTACCTGGATTTTGAAATGTGATCTGATCTTTGTCTAAATAATGTGAAATAAACACCTTCATAACCATGAACTGCACTGTATTTGAAAGGCCTATTAGAAATGTTATGGTATTACAACTAGGCTGGGTATTAGACGCCAGTATATTTTTAGGCTTGTAATTTTTAAAATGCATTTGAAACATTTAGTTGTCAAAAGTCATTTCTAAATTAAAATGTTAAAATAATCATACGAATTTTATGAATCCTCATCATTTATTTTTTATCTTTTAACATTTAAAATTGTGCTTGATAAATATGAATGCAAAAATATGTTTTATAAAATAGCATTTAAAATATTGAACATATACTCTTGTTCAAAAGTTTGGGGTCAGTAAGATTTTTGAAAAATAAATTAAATTGATCAAAAGTGACAGTAAAGATTTCTGTTTCAAATAAATGCTGTTCTTTTGAATTTTCTTAAAAGAATTATCATGGTTTTCACAACCCTGATAATAAGAAATATTTATTGAGCACCAAATCAGCACATCAGAATGTGACACTGAAGACTTGAAGACACTGAAGGGGTACTGGAAATTCAGCTTTAAATCACAGGAATAAATCACATTTTTAAATTGTAATAATATTTCCTAATATTACTGTATTTCTCTTATCAAATAAATGCAGCTATAGTATGCATAAGAGTTGTCTTTCAAAAATCACATACCACAGGAAAATGTGGTAAAGAAATATTGAACATTTGAAATATTAGTGACAGGAATCCGCTATCCTGTTGAGTCACATGTAAGCCTTCCTCTCCTCCTCTGTGCCTTTTTAACTCAGATCTTCCTTCCATTCATCTCCACAATCCAAGATAGACTGGAACTCACATTCACTGTATCTTGCTTGGTTCTTTTACAATAGTATTAGTCACTTCTGAAAATTAAGTTCAAATTCTATTTTAGTTTGCTCATGATTATTTTATTAATTTATCAGCTTTACACTGTCACTTACACTGATTATTAAATTATGAAATGTTATTTTTTTAAATATAGAATTGCTCGGTTGTAGGTGAGAGCATGTGTGACTGTGACATGTACCATCACACCCACCAGTAAAAAGCTGCTGCGTCATGACACAGAAGAGGAACCAGGGTAGAGAACACATTTTATTTTCTTAGTTGTGCTTTCAACCTGTCCAAATGCCCACAATTCTTATGAATCCAGTGGTCAGTAGGTCACTGGCAGTGTTTAGGGTAACGCATATCAACTAACATGAGTCATGTAGTCAGATTACTTTTTTCAAGTAACGAGTAAAGTAAAATATTACATAGTTATATTTAGGCTATATTTTTCTCTCTCTCTCTCTCTCTCTCTCTCTCTCTCTCTCTCTCTCTCTCTCTCTCTCTCTCTCTCTATATATATATATATATATATATATATATATATATATATTAGGGCTGTCAAATGATTAATCGTGATTAAACACATCCAAAATAAAAGGTTTTTTTACATAATATATGTGGGTTCACTGTGTATAATTATTTTATATATATATAAATACACACACATGCATGTATATTTAAGAAAAAAATAGTATTTATATATAAAATATTTATATATAATATAAATTATATATAAATCTATATACAGTATATACATGAAAATATTTCTTAAATATATACAAGCATGTGTGTGTATTTATATATATATAATAATTATACACAGTGCACCCACATATATTATGTAAAAAAAAACTTTTATTTTGGATGTGATTAATCACGATTAATCATTTGACAGCCCTAATATATATATATATATATATATATATACACAGTGTTGGAAGGTTACTTTAGAAATAGGTCACAGATTACAAGTTACCCTATTTAAAATGTAATAAGTAGTGTAACTATTCAATTACCTTATTAAAGTAATGTAACGGATTACATTGCATTACTTTTTGATTACTTTTCTTATTTCCGACATTGGTACTCATTTTTATCACTCGCCATAGTGGCAACTAATTGGCAAACGTGGTGAGCTGCAAAATCAAACGAGAAATAATCAAAAGCATCGTTTAGCATCGCTTTACTAAACAGCCTTTAAATGGCAGGAGGCATTGTGCAAATCAAAAACAGGCAAAGCAACAAATTTATATTATTCAACATATCCTAACTTTTTACAGAAAATATTCAGATGTAGATGTATAAGTAACGGTCATTTAATTACACATTTCTTTCTCAGTAACTGTCCCTGATTGTAGTTACATTTATTTGTTAATTAAATTGCGTAACTCAGTTACATGTAACTAGTTACTTCCCAACACTGTATATATGTATATATGCAGGAGTACTTTTTTGGGAAAACTGAATTCGAGTTCTCAGTCCCAAAGATGAAAAGGACCATCCAGACTTTCATGGCAGGTGCAAAAGCAAACATCTGTCATGGTATGGGGATGCATCCATGTAAATGGCATGGGTGACTTGCATATGTGTGAAGGTACCATTGATGTGGAGGCGTATATTATATATACAGTATATATGATAACTCTCCTGTCCCATGGTGAGAGAAATCAGGAGTGAGGTGCACTGTGTAAACATGATGTTGTACTTTAACAGATTCACTATTCCTCAAAATGCTTAAAAACAGTGAAATGCAAACTCAGAATATTACGAAAACCTGCAATAATTAAATTACACAAATATACTTTATGTATTGAATCTTACTTTATTACCCAGTGTCTTTGCTGCTGACCTTCAATGATCCAATTTAACCATGCCAACAGCAAAAATGACTTTAGATGCACATCACATTTGTGTTTCCATGAAGTGTTGAACCTTTTTCTTCTGCGTCCTATTCTTTTGCAGTTCTTCTTCAGCACGGCTGAAAGATTTGTTTCAGCTCTGCCCTCTTCACTGTACAGGCATGCATTTGCATTTCCTTCAGCCTGAGGCTTATTGTTCATTTCACTTTTGGTGTTAAAGGGCCTTTACATTTTCCAAAAATGAAACTTTTTTTAATATCATTAAAAAAAACATAAAAAGTCATTAAGTAGCGCAATTAGTTACTTGTTTAGAAAGTAACATAATATTGTAACGCATTACATTTAAAAGTAACTTTCCCCAAAACAGTCAGACTGGTGCCAGACCGAGTTTGGCTTAAAAATCCTTTACCCGGATTTGAGAGGAATGCCATACTGTCTGTGCTTTAGACCGAGAGCGCTTTCTAGATCGGACCTCTGACTGAACAGCTGGTGAGATATTGTGGGAGTACCTAAACCATGAGAAAAGGTAAAAGATGTGTATGCGCATTTATTTTGTTAATTCACTTTTATTTAGCGCAGTGTCGATTTTCTCAGTTTGTGAGTGCCTGTGCATTTCTGTAAAAAAAAAATCGCAAAGACTAGATTTTATTATGAATTTAAATCTATTGTGTATCTGCTGCAGAATGTAACTGGTGGTGCCCTTGGTACCTTTATGAAATCATCAGTGTTTAGACACTGGCTAGAGACTAGTTGTCTCAGTGTGATTCATGGCCTGGACATCAGACGCTACAGACCCAAACGACAACAAAAGAGTCACACGGTTTATCTCACATATTTCAGACTGACTGCAAACTCAATGAACGCTTCTGAATTCTGCCAGCTATGCAGGTCCGCCTGTCACGATCTGAATGTTGGTCTTTCATAACCAATTTCAGTTTTCCAGTTTTCCTTCCAATAGCATGCACCTTACAAAATACATTTCCAGTTTCCCATGTATGTTATTACCTCACTCTTACATAGAGAGAGAAAAAAATGGTGTAATGCATTCTGGTATCTTAAAGGTACGTATTATTACCTCAAATTTATAGTACCGAAATAGTATGTACCCATTAAAAGGGAGCCAGCCACCATTGTGACAACTTTTAAACCATTTTGTGTGTGTAAATGGTGTGAAGTGCTGATATTTTGAGATCTTGTGATTAAAAGAAATGGCTCTTTCACATTGCAGTGACAAAGTTACAAAGTGGCTTTGAGTGAAATTTTGCATGTAAAATAAATTTTCAACGACAAACTTGCACATGCTAATGAGCAGTCACATTTGTTTCACTTTTATTGTCATGCAACGAGATTTCTTTTCTGTGCTTGTATAGTGACAGAACAGCATGTTAAATACTGATTTCACTGTAATTTTACTGTCAGACACATGTAAGTGCGAGCAGACTGTGTGAGAAAGTGCACTGAACGCCTGCTGTAGTCTGTTGTCTTTATATCAGACAGCAGGAGGCCCGTCTGCCCCTCAGCTTCAGCACAAATCGTACATGCTTTTAGCTTCATGAATAAAACATTTGCTCTTGCAATGCTGTCATTAATCACACGTTATCCGTCTGAACATAAAAGGTTATGTCTATTCCTGAATCAATGACAGGTTTCCATAATAACCAAAGCATATTTTTATGTTTGGAAAGCACTTAAAGTGTGCATTAATTGCCTTGGTACTGTAAGACTTCGTTACCATGAGCCTCAAAGGTTATTCGTTGCAATAATCAAAATTTGTCCTTGGTTCTCAATGGTATTTGTCCAACTTATAAAATCTGGAGAACAGGGAGCCTCGGGATAGTTCAACAAAAAGTTAAAAAGCTGTCATTTCCTCACCCTCACGTTATTTTACACTCAAATTATTTACTTTGCTCTGTGGGACAAAAAAGGAGAAGTTTTGAAAAATGTTCATGCTGTCATTTTTGATACAGTGAAAGTTGATGGGGACATGCACCTACAAGTATGTGTCTTTGTGTGAGGAACATACTAAAATATCGGTTGTAAGTTGAAAATATTGTTTGCCAGCCGTGGTCAGCATTCATTTATGTTCTGACAGGATAAATGTGTTACTTTGGTAAATTCCAGCTGAACTGAGGTAAAGAATCAAAACAGACTAATATAGTTTTTAGATTTCAGAGCTTTCAAAGTGAACTTTTATTACATATATAGTATATTATGGGTTTCTGAACAAAGTGAAATTGGTGGCCATATTTTCTGTATCAAAACATTCTGTCTGAGCAATCCTTTAAAGTTTAAACCTTTGGCATCTTTCACTCCAAAAAGACAGAAATGATAGAAATGTAACTTATAAAAAGTCCACAACGTTTAGAATTTCAATTAAATCAAACCAAAAATAAGATTCTATCTCAGTTACTAATATCATATGTACATTGATCATATGAGCTCAAGATGCTCTTTGGATCATTCTTAAATCATGATCATCAGGTTACAGGCTAGACAAAATTGTGGAGTTCATGCAGCTGAAGTTCTACTGTCATTAAAGCTAATCAGGGGGAAAAATCAGATACTAAGGGATTAGGAAAATTTATTTTGATTATTTCAAAAGCAAAGTGAAATTAACAGTATTGATTGTTTTGTTGGTGGCCATATTTTCTAAATCAAAACATTCTGTATGAGCCATCCTTAAAGGTCTAAGCCTTTAGCAGCTTTCACTCTGAAAATATGTCATCACACATTAACAAACTGACAACTACCTACAAATTCTGTTCAGAAATGTTCTTTATTGTCAGCAAACTACATTTCAAAGATCCCTTGTATAGCACATAATGTTTTGCATTAGTGACAAAAATTTGAAGCATAGCCTAATCACTTTATAAATACAAATCAACTGATTTCCATTACATTGGTATGATTCTACTTTGAGGGGAATAATGGAAGTATCAACAAATAAAAAAGTCCCTGCTGTTTTATTTGATGGCTCCGTGAATGAGTTTTGAGCGTGTCTGTACGTGTCATTGTGGTTTCTGTTTCTCCCACTGCTCTGGTGTCAACGTTTTCTGCTCGAATGCATGGATCTCTTTCAGCTCCTCGGCAAGGCAATTATTCACCAGCCTAACAACAAACATAAACACAGACATTTATAAAAACATCACATGAGGTCAGTAAGTCTATTGATCCCAGCATGCCTGTTCCTCACAGCTTGCCTTCACAGATCCATCCTCTCTAAAGACAATACTCTTCCACATGACTTGGTCCTGTAAAAAGACCCAGATCATTCTGCTAAGCCTGCACATCTGCGTCCGTGTCTGAGGCACTCTCAGACAGCTGGGACACATGACCTTTGCACAACACTCTCCACTGACAGCATCATTGATTCCATCAAACCATTTTTATTTCCATTTTCAGGTGTCCCGTACTTGGCTGAAACAACATCCCAATTGTTTTCTTAAAGCTGCAGTCCGTAGCTTTTTTGGGGTTAAAAAAAATCCAAAATACATATTTGAGAAAATACATAACCAGCCAGTGTTCAAAACTATCTGCTTGCCTTAGCTCGATTCAAAGCGGTAAGCTTGTAATAATGTTTTTAAGTCCAGTGGTACTGGTGGATTTCCGCGGGAGATTCGAGCATGTCTTTGCGTCATTACGTCACATCTGTACACATAAAGAAGGAGTCTCGGCTAGTATAAGCTAGTTTGCATGTGAGGATGGTGGATGTGGAGATTTATAGCCTTTTCTCACAGCACTTGATATAATTAAACTTATCAATTTGATGGCGGATCCAGAAAGGTTCAAACGACAATCACCAGTGACAACAGATTCACCCGCTGTAAAATGCAATAGACTTCGTTCGGACTTCGGCGTGGCTACAGAAAAAAAGAGACTGCAACCGGACCCATGCGAAAACAAGGATACATATCGGAAGGACATTACATGTAGTCATGCAATGCTGACGTTGTTAACATTGACAATTTGAGAACAAAGTATAATTTGCACGGTTTTGCGTGATATGATAAGCGATTGTTAGATTTAATCAGCGCGATTTACTGCAATGTCAGAACCAGAACAAAAGTGGATGTTTCTTACTTGTTCAGATGACATTTTCCGGTGAAAATTATTATGTTGGTCATACTTCCAAAAAGAATAATCTGTGATTCTGAATGCCAGTATCCACACCGGCGCGGTGATTGACAGCTGCACACTCTCCTCAAACATTGTGTTCATCCGCGCTGTGCGGTGTCGAACTACAACTCACATAGAGTTAATAATTCGCGAATAACTGCAATTTCAGATTTCAAACAGAGATGGCGACAAAGTGGAAAAACTGCAGACTGCAGCTTTAAATGGCAATATCCACTACTGATATGAAATGCAACCTGCTTGCCGCATATCAATAAAATGTAATAAAATGAGTGATTAAATAACAAGGGCCACATTTATTTATGTTAATATTATCAACAAATGTCAACATTAACTGATCTTTCTTATGCAACTGCCCTTCTATATTGTGTTAAATTGACTGCACTGCAAATAACTTACTGTAAAAGGTGCAGTAAGTGATTTCTGAGGAACACTGTTGAAAGTGGATCGAACCGAGCACCAGAATACACTTGTAGCCGATCAGCAGTAGGGGTGTAAACACTCATGATGGGGGAGGAGAGAGAGTGAGCAAGAGGGAGATTTGAAGAAAGACTGTAGAAAGAGAGATGGCTGAGAGACATTACAAAAGAAAAAAAGGTCACTGGGAAAAGAAAGGTTATGATCATGTAAGAGCTTTAGGACCAGCGTTAATATTAGAAAAGTTTTTCAGTGCTGGAGAGAGCTAAACGGGGTGGCCTGAAAACGGACGCCGAGGTTTTCGTTGTTTCTGCTCTATACGCGAGTAACATTGGTTTTGCCATGTTTCACGATTTTGGCTATATGGGGATACTCAATGTCTGATTTAACATCTAACTACTGGTTTTCTGTCAATACGGTAATATACCGCCTATTATGATAATGCTGTAAATAAAAATGTACACAAAAAAAGAATCTTTTAATAAATATTTTTACTGTGCGTGAATAAATCCAAACACCCCATGACAGATTTAAGTTTCACTTTCCATGATCCTTGACTGACAGATCAGCATCTTGGCGGTAGGGATTTAAATGTTTAACAATGTCTGGGATAAGAAAATCTAAAGTGTGGATGCACACAATCAGAAAAAACATTCTCCAAGGCTGGATTTAGCATCAGGAAAATGATCACATGATCACACTTCTGCCGGCCAACGTTAACAAGTTGGTTTTCCTTGGGACATTCAAACGTGAAAAAAAAAAAACTTTTAAAACGTTAAAGGGCACTTTTACGTGGCTTAATGCATGTACACAGTACATACCTTATTAAGAAACCATACTACACTGAACAAAATTATAAACGTAACACTTTTGTTTTTGCCCCCATTTTTCATGAGCTGAACTCAGACTTTTTCTATGTACACAAAAGGAAGTTTGGTGGATATTGGCAGGACCTGGAACATACAGTCATATATGCCGATCCAGAGCATACCAAAACATGCACACAATTTGAAAAGACTCAAACAAACACAGGCAGAGTGAAAAACTGGATTTTTCTATCGATCAGGTAAGGTACAAGTAATTTCAAAACATTTCAGCCGGTTCTAATTTGATTTGTGGGCGCTGTGAACAGGTTTAGCTAAAAAATACTGCCACTCCAGTTTAGCGTTTAATTGTTGTTTCTGCAGTTAAAAAGACAAAGTTGACCATTCTGGCTATACTTTCGTTATTTCAATCATTTCTTTTATTTTTCTTTTATTTAACTCAGGGTTATCTAATTTAACTAATTGTGGCTTGTGTTTTGAATACGTTCACCTGCACTTTAGGCATTTTGCACACATTTGTTCTGCATTTTGGGACTTGATTCTGACTTATTTTGTTTTGTCTTTTTTTATTGTAAAGGTATATTCTGTTCTAATTTAATTCTGTAAATTAATTGATTATTTTTCGGTACATATCGATGTTTTGCGTTGTAGGCTACTTAGAGCCTGCTCGCACAGGCAATTTAGCCGATTTAATTTGATTTGCATGTGAAATGCAAATCATGTCTGCAGTGTGGCCTTTCTGCAGTTATTTGTTATTTCTTAGTTTTATTGATCCGAAATGTTTTTATACATTTTCTTCTATATCTTTGTGGGATGTTCTGTACATCGCGGCTTTAAAATGTTAAAGTCCCTCCCCAACCCCACACACGATTCGACTATTAGTCGACTACAGGCAAGACTTGACGATTCTGATTCGACAATGAAAATCCTTAGTAGGGGCCACTCCTGGTAACAGGACAGTTTTGAGTGTAATTATTTGTCTAGAGCTGGTGTGCTGCTGGCGACTAACAGCAAACTCTTGCTTGTACTGTTTGTTATTTTTTTGTCCTTCATTGTCGTTCCTTATCTTCGCTTTATTTCTCATTATTATTTACTTCAGTTACTATAAAGAGACATCCACTCTTGTATTGCATGTTTATGCATTTTGGGGGTGGAGCAATGAAATGTGTTTGTTTGGGTCGTGTTCAACAATGTTTCTCAGAAATCACGTACTGCACCTTTAACTTGAGAGATGAAATTCACATAGTGATTAGACATTTTTGTTCATTAATAAATGAAACAGGCATTAATCATGTGCACACATTTAACTTTTTATATTAATTCGTAAAGAGAGGTCCAAAAACCACACTGAAAATCTGGGATCAAAAATGTAAAGACTCCCTGTGGTAAAAATCAAGTTTTAAATGTTGTTTATGTCTAATGTGGTGTTTTTAATATACTTTAAACAAATCATGTGCACATTCATAAGTCAACAACATTTCTGAGTATTTTCTCCTTAAAACTGCAGTATTTTTTTTTTTTAATTAATTACCGTTATGTGTCCAACGTTGTAGAGAGTGATACATGAATTCATACATAAAACGCATTACCATTCTGATACATCAACTTGTATTCGAGCCTGTATAATTAACTCTTTCCCTTCTTCTGAATCAGTTTCTGGTTCAAACATTTATGGCTGAATTAAACCAGTATTTCTACTTGCCATTGTGCAGCATTTACTACGATAATGTTGACCGAGTGGATCAGGAATTCTGAGTGGAGGCAGGGACTAATATGCATATTCATGGATCATGGATTTTTACTCAGGAATATATCATACATTTTGGTGAAAAAAAGAGATGAGCTTTAATGAATAAAATTGACTATAAAGCAGGAGGATTTCGATTAAAACAAACATAAGTTACAGTATTATAAAAGGAATAAGATTCTGTACCTCTGAGTTACTAATATCATGTATGTACATTTGTGACATTGATCATGTGAACAAACAGTCACACGTTCGTCCACTGAAGCACAAGATGCTCTTTGGATCATTCTCAAATCATGATCATCAGGTTATAGGCTACACAAACTTGTGTAGTTCATGCAGCTGGAGTTCTGCTGTCATTAAAGCGAATGGGGGGGACATTTTATTTTCAGATTTCAAAATGAAATTAAGATTATAACGCGAACATTAAAAATGAACACTACTAAGAAAGGAGAAAAATAGAAGCATTTTTACTTGTGGTTTCAGTCTTTTGTATTTTCTATGGATGAATGATGCTCTAGTCCAAAGGAATCGTGAGCAGAAGTAGTAGCCTCACCTGTGTCTCTGCAACAATGCTTTTCCTTCAAACTGAGGGGATACAACAAGAACTTTAAAACTGGCAGCACATCTATTGGGAGACGTGTCTTCTACATCCTGAAAGAAAAAAGGAGTTTACGTATTTTCGTTAATTTACTGTTGAAATGTGAAAAAGCACCCGCTGCCTGTTTTACATCGCACATGTACATTGTATGATCTGTAATTCATTCTGATTCCAGCTTCATCTGGCTGTGCAGTTATTATTAACGTTACATACCACGTGTATCGCACCAATCTCCGCAATCAGTTTTTCACGAATCAGATCTGGGGTGACTGACATATTTCCTGGGATAAAGTATAAGCTTTGGTGACGACGACGTTTTAATAAAGGTTAATGGTGTCAACGTAAGTTACAGTAGACAGCGTCGATGTCTTCTAAACAGTGTTGCCAACTATTTTCAAAGGAAAGTAGCTAAGGCCTTCCCTAAAAGTCGCTAAATGTCGCTAGATGACGTCATACGTCAATTAGCATATTAATTACGTCATCGCGTCGGACTTGCGTTCTGTCAGCCTAGTGCATTTTCTCTCTAAATGAATGCTCTATTTAATATAATATAGCCGAATGTCGAATAAAGCTGTTCTCATTTCCTATTTTTGTTGTTGTCAGACAACAAGTAGTGAATTATTACATTTTTTATAGGCCTATGTATGTGGAACATTATCTGAATTGAGAGAGTTAGGGAACCGGATGAACTAACCTCTGTGATAGTGAGTGTTACAAGTAATAAGCACAAGAAAATAAATAAAAATAAAATGGTCAAACTAAATTCTTTAAAAATAAAACAAAAGAAAAGCATATAAGTGATAAGTCCGTGGAAAAACACTGCTCTTTTTTCCATCCAGCACAGTAGGTGGCGATAATGCTCCTTAGGAGTTAATCGCCATTAAACAACAAGAAGAAGAAGAAGAAAAACACTGCTCATTCGCGTCTGTCAGCGGCCGTGCGCTCCTCTCAGCCAGTCACTGAACAGGGGAGACGCAGCTAGAGAGAGTGACGACAGGGAGAAAGCAAGACCTCGCGCTCGCAGGACAGTACTGGCAACATTTGGAGGTTACTGAGGTTTGTCCAAGAAGTCGCTAAAATTGTCGCTAGTCGCTTTTTTGAAAAAATGTCGCTGAAGGGGTCTGAAAAGTCGCTAAAAATAGCGACAAAGGCGCTAAGTTGGCAACACTGCTTCTAAATGCAGTAACTACCGGTATGCCTTAGAAAGGAGGAGCTTAGTAATAAATACACCCATTTTGGCTTGGAATGTTACAGAGGCCACGCCTCCTAAAAATAAATGACCAATCGATTTATCGAAGTGTTTACCAGAGGCATGCAAACTGGCCAATCAAAGCCACGAATTTGGGGTCCTTGCTGTTATTGGTGTTCTCTACATTTGCTTGATCGGAAAAGCCAAATAATTATATTGGAAGATGATCAAACCAAATTAAATCAATACAGAAGGTCAAATCTTTACTTGTTAATAAAGTGAAGAATAACCACACATTCAACTTAATATTTTATTCGTTTAACAAGTGACTCCTGCATCGTATATTTGGTCAGGCCATACACGGACATCTTTAACGGGCTAGTTTGAAACGAAAGAGCCACAAAACCAAAACATATGAATGTTTTGATGATTCAAGTAGAGAAGAAAAAGAACAGGCACTCCGTTTTTAGTCTTTAATATGATGCCATATTTATTGATTTTAAATAAGAAGGTTGGATTATAGGATATAGTTATATCGCTTGAGATAAGGAACTCTTGAAAGGTGCTGTAAAAGATGACATGTATAAGTTGGAAAGAAAAGTCTCTGCGTTACTAGCCCTCTCTCTGCAAAGGTGTTTGAGCTACTGTAGAAAACAGGATGGTGGTAGAGGTGGAGAGTTTCTATGGCGTGTATATGCTGTACTGTACTAACCCGAAATTCAAGGGTAGAATATATATTGGCTTCACTGTGAACCCAGAGCGCCGTATCGGTCAACACAATGCAGGACGGCAGCGCGGAGGAGCCAAGAGAACCAGTGGCAGAGGACCGTGGTGAGATATCAGCTCAACATTTCACATGGCGAACATATTAAGACCAGATCTCTAAACAGAGATCTGTAGATCTGGTTCTGTTGTAGTAAATGTACGTTTTTTTAATTCATTTTAAGGGAGATGGTTCTTATCATCCATGGCTTTCCATCTGATATTGCAGCTCTTCGGGTAAATATACTATTCTGTTTATGTGTTATATCTTGTCTCTCATTTCCCCTTTGTACCAAATTCTCTTCTGTATGCTTACTTTAAACAAGCTACACTATGTACCTTTTTGACAAAAGCAATGTTATTAACTAGAGAGTGCAGGGAAAAATTATTCCATACCAAGCCTTTACCTTACCCAAATACTCTATAATAAAGATTAATATGTTTAAAGTGCTTTGGACTGATGTTGCGGGAAATTGCATACATGCATTCTAGGCTGTGTCCGCAATCACATACTTCCGCAATCACATACTATGTAGTAGGCGAAAAACAGTATGTGACAAAAGAAGTATGTCCGAATTCACAGTACTCATAAAAGAGTCGGCAAAAAGTACCGGCCGGATAACCTACTAACCTACTACCTCCAGCGAGATTCTGAAGTGTGCATATGAATGATAGACACTTTACTATCTCATGAGGCCACGGGAGAGGATTTGTGAATGACAGTGAAGTGACGTTGACGCTGATAGGTCACATGTCAGTGACAACATGGCGAATGTAGTACGTCCGGATTGCATTCACAAAATACACATTCTTCATACTATAGAGAACATACTTTTTTAGCGCTGGAAATTTAAGTACTTATTTAAAATAAGTACATTCTTGACTACAAATGCAGCCAGAGTAATATCTGTAGACAGAAAGGCCCTGTCCAAAATTAAAACCTAAGCCTTCGCATTCTTGTTCCGAGTCCACACCCGTTTTATCTTGTTTAACGGCGGTTTACATCCAGCTTATTTGTGCGTTACCGCCAACTCGGCTCCGTAGTGTGGATCTTTCCCACCAACACACAAACACAAGCTTAATCAGCTAAAGAAACAATAAAACATTTTTTTACCTTGGCTGCATCCAAAACAGTATGAGACAAAAGAAGAATGTCAGAATTCAAAGTACTCATAAAAGACCATGCAAAAAGTACCAATGACCTACTGTTTCCAACGAGATTCTGAAGTGTGCATATGATGGGCACTTTACAATCCCATGAGGCCACGGGAGAGGATTTATGAATGGCAGTGACATTTACATTTATTCATTTAGCTGACGCTTTTATCCAAAGCGACTTACAATTGCTATATATGTCAGAGGTCGCACGCCTCTGGAGCAACTAGGGGTTAAGTGTCTTGCTCAGGGACACATTGGTGTCTCACAGTGGATTCGAACCCGGGTCTCTCACACCAAAGGCATGTGTCTTATCCACTGCGCCATCACCACCCCTCAGTGAAGCGACGCAACTGACTGTCAGTCACATGATAAGGGCAACATGGCGGGTGATGTAAATGTGGTTTACATTCATACTATATAGGACATACTTTTTTAGCAGTCACATTTTCGGACACAACTCTTGAGTCCATACTTTCGTGACGTAATGGTGCTTTGACTGTTGGGTAGAAATCTGCTGCGGAGCTCACATCAGTGCCACCTCGGCAAAAGTGTACATCAAGGTCACTTATTGTGCGCAAAAATGGCTAAATAATACAAATATACTTTATGTATTTAATCTTACTTTATTGTCTTTGCTGCTGACCATAGATGATTCAATTCAACCATATCAATAAGCAAAAATGACTAGATTAAACATAAAGTGTTCCATCTCGGACAGAGCCAGAAAAGTAGCTGTGGGTTGCGTGAAGTTAAAAGTTGGTTGTCACAACGAACCAGAGAAATTGATAATTAATCATTTAAAACCCGCTCTGATAAGATGATTTGTATCGATGTGTGTACACTGGTGCCTCGAACCACATTCATCTGAGGAGCACAGTTGAAGAACAACCAAAACTATGTTTATACAGGGCAAAGGGCCGAAAGTTAGGTAGTGTGGCATTAATAATAATGGTAACACTTTACAATAAGGTTCATTAGTTAACATTCGTTTATTTAGTAACTAACATGAACTAACAATGAGCTATACATTTGTGACGGTATTTGTTAATCTTTGTTAACGTTAGTTAATAAAAATCCAGCTGTTCATTATTTGTTCATGTTAGTTCAAGATTTTAATAAAGTATTAGTAAATATTGAAATTAACATTAACAAAGATTAATAAATACTGTATAAGTGCAGTTCATTATTAGTTTGTTAACTTATGAACCTTATTGTAAAGTGTTACCATAATAATAATAATAATAATACAAAAATTGTCCAAACAGATTGATTCATATAATTGTATAAGAGTAATGAAAATAATTTAGTGAAAACGACAAATTGAACAGTAAAACATCCAGACACATTATAGTAATAACCATCATCTTTCCTCTGCTAGTTTGAGTGGGCTTGGCAGCATCCGCACACCTCTCGTCGCCTGTCCCATGTTGCCCGGCGCAGCCGTAAAGAGTCCAGTTTGCAGTTCCACTGGCGTGTGGTGTCAAACATGCTTCGGGTGGCGCCATGGAATCGACTCCCCCTCACTGTGCGCTGGCTAAAGCAGGAGTACCGGATGGATTTTGCCCCTGTGCTGCAGCCTCCTCTGCACATTCCTCTAGCGTTTGGCTGTGTTCGTGCTAAGAGGAAACCGCAGCACAAGTGTGAGGAGCAAGAGGAGAGACAGGTGGAGCGGTGTGTGTTGTGTGGGGTATTTGTTAAGGTTAGTTTCACTCTGCTTTCAAAGTGGTTTTAAAGAAACCAGCCCAAAATGTTGCAGGAATAACTGTCTCAATCCTTTTTTTTTCTTTTTCTGGTGATTTCAGGCTGTGGATAGACTTTCTTGTTTCCACCCTTCCTGTCATATGGTTTGTCATCTGATTTGCCTGGCTAAACAGTTTCTGAAGGCAGACTCTTCCCACCTACTTCCTGTCGAGGGAAAGTGTCCTGGCTGTCATCACTCTGTGCTGTGGGGGAGTTTAATACGCCATAAAAACGGCTGTTATGGTGATTTGGAAGAAATTACCTCGTCCTCATCTCAGGTCAGCTTTAATATGGTATCAGAGTGTATTAAAGGAATAGTTCACTTAAAAATGAAAATTCTGTCATAATTTACTCACCCTCAAGTTGTTTCAAGCCTGTATGAATTTATTTTTTCTGCTGAACACAAAAGAATATATTTTGAAGAATGTCGGTAAACCAAGCAGTTGATGGACCCCATTGACTTCCATAGTCTTTTTTTTCCTACTATGGAAGTCAATGGGGTCCATCAACTGCTTGGTTACCGACATTCTTTAAAATATCTTACTTTGTAGAAAAAATAAATTCATACAGGTTCGAAACAACTTGAGGGTGAGTAAATTATGACAGAATTTTCATTTTTAAGTGAACCATTCCTTTAATTCACTATTAAAGGAATGTGGCCACGAACTATTATTACAAGCATATTTTCAGTTATTTTATAGAGATGTCAGATATAGATAGTGATGCATGACAGCTAAAGGTATTAAAAACTGTACTTGGAGTGAAGTGAAAGCTGCAGCTTTTAGTGAGACAAGTTAAAGAACTGATGTAACTCACTAATTGTTCTTTATTCTTTTAAACAGAATCATTGGACAGATGAACTACAGTTGTGAAGAAAATGTGATACAGCCTTTTCTGCATTTTGAGAAGTAATCATTGGACTGGATAATGACAGCTCATTAAGGTCAAGGCATCTGTACATTCTAAGAAATGTGGAATTAACAAGGATTCACAGAATGAGATGATGCATTTAACTCAGTTGACCTTTTGAAATAAAAGGATCTTCAGACATATTTTAAAATATGAAATAAAACATTTTAATTCAGCAATAATAATTGTTACAGCATTGTGTGTAAGCTCAGTCATGAAGTTTTAAAATGTGTTTATTTTTTTATCTGAAATCATGTGTGGTTATATTTATTGGACAATAAATCATTGTGTGTGTGTGTCATTATTTTCTCCCTATTCCTTGGTTGCAATGTTGAATTATCACTCAAACAAATGTTTTAGTTTTATGGTTATACAAGATGGAAACAGATGAGCATTGGTAAGAATCTATAAGCTGTGAGGATGATTATTGATGCAATGAATAAAGGCTGAAGAATGAAATGTGTAAACTGCAGCTCAGTAGCTTTTTATTATCGAGTAGTTATAATAGCGAGTTTGAAGCGGGATTACCTGTGCAGACAAGGAGAATGTCTGAAAGCAGTCTTAACAGTTCTCACAATTATTAAAATTTTTGTAATACTGATGATCAGTGCCATTGGTGGGACATAAACGCACTAAAGTCAACAATGGTGCCCACAATATAGATTATAAAGGCATCACTGGAGCAATAACAATTCAATGATATCTGTCTGTACATTCAATTGACAAGTTGATTCAATTCAAAGGATTTTATATATGTTGGGTATAAAATAAACATTTCATACTGAATTTAAAAGAAAGTTAAATTAAATTATAAAAAGTGATGGAATTTTAGGAAACATGTTAAACTAAATATGTTTCATAAAATATTGAGTGTAATTTCACAGTAATTGTTAGTGAAGGTTAAAAAGAATAATTGCATTGCTTCCTACAAAATAACTAATTGTACTGAGTTACTTTTCATGGAAAGCAATGTGTTACATTACTTTTGAGCAGTGGCGTGGGTTTGATTTTGAAATTGGAGGGGACGGGGACATCAATATTTAAATATATTTTAAGTTTTGATCGAAATTAATGCTATGGATATATCAGTGTCACTGGATATTGGTAGGGACACGTCCCTAGCGTCCCTACTAAATTCTACGCCCCTGCTTTTGAGTTACTTTTTCTCATCTGTGCGGGGCTTTCTTGCTTGTTTGTTTTTTAATAATAATAAAAAAAACAGCTTTGGCAAATATAAAGACCATTTCACACCAAAAGTGCAAATGCAAATTCACGCCTGTACAGTAGAGGGTACAGCTCAAACAAACCTTTCAGATGTGCTGCCATTATGGATTGCAATAAAGTAAGATTAAACACATAAAGTATATTTGTATTATTGAACATTTAATTACTGCCAGTTTGCATTTCACTGTTTTTATTCATTTTGAGGAAAACTGAATCTGCTTTTGTGCAAGTGAGATGAGTAGATGATGCCTGCTTATATTTAGACTACAAAACCATCATGTTCACACAGCGCACACAATGCCTCTGCACCTCACTCCCGATTTCTCTCAACATGAGGACAGGAGAAGTGTCAGTCAATAAATGGTAAAACAAAGTAACTTGCGTAGCTTCTTTGAAAAGTAACTCAGATAGTATTTTGTTAATGTAAAAGTAATGCACTACTTTACTAGTTCCTTGAATAAGGTAATCTGATTTCGTAACTCAAGTTGCTTGTAATGCGTTACTTATCCCCAACACTGTTCACAGATACCTGAAATGCATAAAACTTATCATTCAATTCTGATACACATGTTGAACAAACAGTGGTTATATGTTGTGGATATATATTTCTCCAGGCTCTGAAGGTCTTATCAGTGAAACTGTCCTCACCTAGGATCTGCAGGTCTGTTAACCGTGATTACCGGCTGAAAAAAAGTAAAAACGCAATGAGTGAGTTTTCATATCTTTCAAAACAGCATCTTACAACATGATCTAGTTTGAGTTTTCACAGGGTCTTACCACACTAGACACGGGAGAGCAGCACTGAATGACCTTGCAGCAGTACGCAGCTAAAGTGGCAGAAAGGGCAATATGGACTGCCAACACCAGCTTTTGTAATGCTAGGTAATTGTCAATTTCAATCTGTGGGTCAAAAGATCTTTATTATACAATACAGATTGTTTCAAAGCAGCTTCACAGTAAAGTTCATCAGTTAGGAAACTAACCTAATTCAAAAATCAGCATGGATTAAGAGAACTAACATTTAGCTGTTACTTACTTTTAAATGTGTACATATTGGGTTTGAGGATTCTTCTTTAGACCAACAATGAAATAATAAGGCATGGGAAGGATCACTAAGGTGCAAGAAAAGGCAGATCACACAGCCCAAAACGGCCACGACCTGCATTCCTAAACAGGCCTTCAGCTGGGGAAAATAAAACAATGCAAACACAGTGCTATTGTATGCACCAAAACAAGGGAATTATGCATGCTTGGTGACCAAAAGTTTATTTTTCCTTATTTAATTAAATAAAATTGCTTATGACAAATAGGCCTACACGTTTTTTTTATGTGTCTGGCAAAACGTTATGATCTGAAAACTTACAGTTGGGAGATGAAGATTCTGTGCAGCTATAGCCAGACTTCCAGCGATAATTATCTACAAAAGGGAAAGACAAGGACATATTATATATGGTGTCCATAGAAAACATTCCAATTGTAGCCCTTGACTTTTCTCACTTATTTCACATTTTCAGGTTGACCTTGTTTCAAAATAGTTTTACTGACTGACTGATCTGCTGTATTGGATTTGGAAAGGCACAGTTTCCTTTATAACATCCCATGTTCAGCAAAACCATGTCCAGGGTACACTTTGAGGCCCTCCAAAACCGCATTGTGTCAATAACAGCATGTTACTTTTTTGCTGTTTAATTAATTTTTTTTTGCATTTCAGAACAGTTTTACCTGTACATTTTTGCTGAAAAATCCTATTAGGCCTACCTTGAAAAAGAAGGCTGCTAACAAATGGCTAACTGGGACTACAGGGTTTTTATATATTGGAAAAATAAACGAAACGAAATGATTCTGTTAAATGTGAAGTGTAGGCCTACTTACAGTCATGGAGGTAATAATGCCACTCCCTGTCCATATAAATATGATATCTACATGTAACACCAAGGTCACAGATGTTAAAAACACAGCCAACGCAATCTGCGTTACCTGTAATAAACCACAAAAACAATTACGAAAATTAACCATGCTGTATTAGGCTATATTAAAACATTTTTAAGCCTGACAGTTGTACTGTAAAAACACAAAACAAAAAACACAATGACCACAAATTTGCAATTGTTGTTCCACTAAACCATTATAAAATGATAATCTTACTCAAAAAAAGTTTACTACAGTTATCCTGTATCATTCTTCACATCCATGAATAAAAGGTTTATCAGTGGTAAAGTTAAGTATACACGTAGGCCTACTCCTAGTATTTTGGGTTCAGCCTCCAGGTATTTCTGTTTATGATTGGTGTTTTTCTGAAAGCGGATGTCCAAAATCTCTCCGTGGTTCCGATCTTCTCCTGACTCTATCTGCGGTTCATCTGTACACGACAGTTTCATGATTAAAGTGATTAATACACACATTTATAAACACGAAGATAAAGCTTAAATCGCCACACTCATTTAGTTTTGATTCAATTCAGTAGCATAAATACATCTATAAATCTGTGAATTTTATAGAGGTAGAGGAAACCATCTAACCGTCCTTTTTGGATGAATTCCAGGAGCATTCCTAACAAAGTGAAGCGAAAAAATAACTCGCAGAAATATGAAAATAAACGTACCTGCCATTTTGCTGATCCCCTAAAGCGGCAGCCTAAATTCTTGCGAAAATACTTGCGATGTTTTAAAATAACTTTACTGTCTCCACGCTTTATCTCTTCTGTTTTGAAATGAATAGGTCCCTCCCCGTTACGAAATCGAGTTCTTCAAGAACATCTGAAAACAGTTAGTCAGCTGACAGCAGCCCCGATACTGAATAACCCGAAAAGCATCCACATACTTATATAGTTTCTCTTATTGTCTCTTGTAGTCTGATAACCCTTACAAAAAAATAAGCTTGTTCAAGTAGCCATGATATTATAGACTACATATTTTAGACTAAATACAAGATAGTAGGCCCTATGCCTGCTTTCAGTCTACTTTTTATGTAGGCCTACTTCTCAGAAATTGCACTTAGCCAGGCAAAAAAAGAACACTGCAGAAGAAGAAAGAAAGAAAAAGCCCAAGCCCCAAAAAGGCTAAACACTAAGCTTTTAAATGTTATCATTGGCCAGAAATTAGCTAAATTTAAGCAATTGTAGGGACACCGGGAATGGTTGTAACAAGTTTTGCTTCAGCGCCTAACTCGCTGAATTTTTTAGCTTGAGTTCTCAAACTTTCATACAAACTACCCACATTTGTTGGACCAATTCAACCCTCTACAAGAATATCACAGACCTCGTGAGTTGATGTCAAATACGTGGTGTTCCTTTGTTACAACCTACCCCACTACTACCAGAGTAGGTTGTAACACATGCTGGGGTAAGTTAGTAACAATAGACAAAAAAAAAGTAAAAATGGATGCCATACCATATGATATTGTTCAAAAACAGATTTATTGAAATAAAAGAACAATCTCTCTCTCTCCCTCTCTACTCTGTTTGACTCCTGTGTGTGTGTGTGTGTGTGTGTTTAAATTTGTCTACTAGAACACACTACTTAACACGAGGCTACTACAATGTACCTAATTAAATAACATCTTTAGGTCTAACAAAAAAAATGTCTGTGTGATAAAATAATCTACTAAAAAAACTTAACGGTATTAATAAACACCACTACAATGTACCAGATTAAAGAACATCTTTGTACATCTTTAAGTCTAACAAAAAATACCATGTCAATGTGTGTGTGACTGTGTGTCTATTCTTAATCAGAGTCACAGTGCTGACAGATGAATGATGCTGGTAACCGTGGAGTGCAGGCTTGATGGGCCCAGAAACTGCATAGGGCGCATTTCACCCAAACCTTCTTTGGCTATGAGTTGTTAAATTGCTCCATGCAAACCACTTTATTTAAAACACTGGCAGAGACACCTCTGTCAGTGTTCCTTTCCTACGCTATTCTTTAAAAACATCAAAATCAAGAACATTCTTAGTAATATTCTTAGTATGTAAGGGGATGTAACATGTTTTAAATAAGTGTTACAACCCACCCCACCCCTGTCAGCCAATGCATCACATATTGCCTAAGAAACTATTCATCTAATAAAAGTAAAAAAATGTATCTGCAATTTAGTTGGCTACACATTTTTACTTTTTTACCTCAAAATCATTTTTTTTTCTATATATATTCTGCATGTCCCTGTTTCCACCCTGTTTACTTTGACTAATAAATGATCAGTATAGGCCTATAGGCTAAATTGACTTATAGTGCATTTGCAGTAAAACGAAAAACCTAGTTGTAATTGTAAACTAGTTTTGTACTCAAAGTTTACTACTGTTACACTAAAAAGTGGGCCAATTTAGTCCCAAGTAGTATTGAAACAGTACACTTACATGTATACTAGTACATTCATATTAGAATACAGTACTTAAAAATTGAACTTGAAGTATTAGTAGTGTTGAAGTGTTATAAGTAGGCCTATTTATTCACAGTTGTTCAGTCTGATGGCTTTCGTGATCAACCTTTTTGTTCATTCAAATGAGGTAAATCAGGAAAATCATTATTATTATTTTTTCATATTCATCAACCCATTCTCTTTGAGACCATAGGCATTTTTAAAATGTACTCTTTCCTCTATTCCTATGTGAATTTTGTAGAAAGAAAAAGTTCTTATGCAATTCATTTTTTTATTTTTTATAAACTGATGACTGTGAAGCATTGCATAAACTCAAATGACTTAAACGCTGTCACTTTTAAATTTGCACACTTATTACAGAGCTAAACTAGCAAATAATCTGTTTAATTAAAATGAAATATGATGGGATGTTTAAATTAAATAAACAGCTGGCTATTCTACAAACAATATCAATCTTTTTTTTGTGTTAATATAGCATTTAATTGTTGAAAAGGATAAAAAAAACACCACCTTGAGAGGTAGTTTTTATTTTATTTTATTCCAAAGAGCATCACAAGGCATTCACACATACAGCCGTTCACACACAAACACCTTCAATAAATGTTTCAAACACAAATGTACATTTATCTTCATCATATATAAATTATAAAAATAGAAACTTAGAATACAACATATCTGTACATCAATTAACATATTTATTTATTCAGAATAAACAAACAAAGAGCATGTAACACTAACTGATGTTTTTTTTAGTTTTTTTTTTTAATGAATATTAACATAAAACCATTGCGGACAAGTCTAACTACAGCATATTTATTACGGGTCATTAAGAGGGTGAAGGCTTGTTAAACTATCACCTTAAACTCAAGAGAAGATGAGGATTTTGTGAAAGAGAAATTTATGGGGTTAAATGTACCTGTTTTTATTATTTTATTGAGCGCTGACAAAGAGATCTATTCAGAAGACAAGATATATTGTACATAATCCAGAGTGTTACCTTCACTTTGCTTGACATAATGTTACAAATATTTGTTTTACAAAGATTTACAAAATAAATAAATGGAGAACGTATAATGTAGATCCAAGTTATTCTACTGGAAAATGGCAGGATATGGCATTTAAATGTGGTCCAACATTTAAGATGGCAGAGGGACTAAACCCCCTCTAGTGGTGAAAAGAGAGAATAAAAACACGTTTAAAAGACCTTTCTCACATTTTCTTTTATATTCACAGATATTTACACACTCCTGCAACAGGTATCATTAATTATGGCTACATTTATTGAACACTCTTTGTACTAGGAGTGCTTTAGGTAACGCCGTAGCCCCTGATCATATTCTGTAGCTTTGTATTCATGGCTACTTTGTCTCATGCACTTTAGTGGGGATAAATATACCTTCAAACGGCACATTCTCTGTCCTTAAAGGGAAACTCAAAACAATCAAACATTTCCTTCACACTTCATTTCCGTTTTGACAATTTCATGCTAAACGATTTAAAGCGACATCATCACCATCGTCTTGTGGTCCTTCGTCTGTGCAGATTATTATGAACAGAACATGCTACATCTGGTCCCTATACGGATGGCAGTGGTTTGACACCACAGAACATGTGGTTGGTTTACTTTGTAGTGGACAAATAAAGTCCAATTCTCACCATCTGCTCTCAGTTCACAGGTTCGACATGCTCTCTCCTATGAGAGAAGATTGCTAAATAGCCTTGTTACTCATTTTCTCTCTCCATTAAGACTTGGGCACTATTAGGTCAGGACCAGATCAAGGTCCCATGAGGGCACACTCTCTTTGGTGGTCCATTTTAGACATTATTTCCATATATCCTTCACCAAGGGGCCCATGGAATCAGCTCGTACTGAATGCTCCGAGGGCCCCTTTGTGCCCCTTTCCCTGGCAAAGACCCTATAATCCAGCCATGCCATAGGCCACAGTACCTCTTTATCTATAAGGCATAAAGTTTCCAGTATCTCCATCATTCAGTCATTATTTGCTGCTGTGAAGCATCAGTCACAGAGCCCTTTTGGTGACAAATCAAATCATTTTACTTCAGTAACCGGCCCAGGATGAGTAGATTCTTCACGGCTTTGCACTGCTCTGGTCTGCTTTTGGACATTTGAATCCTTAAAGAGGAAACAGACCAAGCAACTACAGACTTACACACACACAGATGCAAAGTCCGTGTACTGTATGTCCGTGTGTGTGCGCATGGCTTTGAGGATGGTACACAAAAGTGCTATAAGAAACGCCCGCTCGTGGTTCCGCCCATGCGTCTGATCAAACACATGCAAAAACAGTAGGATAGACACAGATCTACACAGCATGTTATGTACACAGGACTGGATGGTGATGTAATGGAGTAGTAGAGGAGTCAGTCGTGTATGTGCTTCTTTGTGTAACTGCGCATTGTTGTTCGTATATTTGGAATGTGTATCAGTTTTTTTTTGATTGTCTGCTTTCCTCTTCTCCTCCAGCCCTCCGTCTGTGTTTGTGAGCCTTTCACAGAGTTTAGTTTCAAAGATCACATGTGTGCCGGTCATCATATCGAGCTTTCTTCGCACTTTGCCAGTGGTGCTCCTCTTAGGCAAGGGATTTTAGAAAACTCCTCCTCCATCTCACTAAGCACGTCCCCTAGTCCCTCCTCCTCTCCGTCTGGCCCCGCCCTTTCTCGGCCATCCAGCTCCTCTGCCAGGTTCACAGCTGACTCCTGTAGTTTCAGTCCACTTGTGTTGGTGTAAATATGCCTGCCGTTGTGCCCACCCGGGTGCATACTGTGTCCGTTCAGCGTCCCGTTCCTTTTCTCTGTTAACGGAACAGCCTCCGACAACAGACTGTCGCTGCATGGAGACTGCGGCGTGTCTGTTGAAGGAAGCAAGTCCCGCCCTTTTTCCAATGTGGACGATGAGTGCCCGCCCCCTCTCATGCCACCTTGCCGTTTGTAAATTAGAAACAACAGGATGACACCCAATACAAAACCTATGACGAAAAAAATGATGTGCGAGGCCAGGAAGTGTCGGCCACCCGCAATGGCTACGTTCCCCCCCATGCTGGGCTTTTCAAGGGTCAGTTGGTACACGGCTTTGCGACAGGGTGGCTGATCTCTGCCCACTTCATCACATAGGCACGTGTATGTGCCCAGGCTCTGCGCTGTGACCTGCACCTCCAGGTCATAGTTGTGGCGGCGGGTGTGACTGCCAGAGGGATTCTCCCAGCGGCAAGGACGAGGAGACACCTGCACACACGAAAGCAGGACGCGCAGACCCTCTTCCACACGCATTTCAATTACAGGTGGGGAACAAAGACCTATAGTTACAGAGAAAAAGTGGGACACAGATGATTAGGTCACAATTAGTTTTTATTGCCCCCCTTCCTCTCTATCTCTCTCTATATATATATATTTTCACCAAGGCTGCATTTATCTGATCAAAAATACAATAAAAACTATAAAAATTGTGAAATATTATTACAATTTAAAATAACTGTTTTCTATTTAAAAAATTTAATTTATTTCTGCCATGGCAAAGCTATTACCAGCCATTATTCAGTGTATATATATATTGAATCCAATATTACATTTTCATTCCAATTCTATTTAATTGGTTCAAAACTTTTCACAATCATTAATGTCATTCAATAATAATAATAATAATAGTAATTCAATATAATTTCAAAGCAACAAAAGGTAATGGTGTGGAGAATGTGGTGTATAGACTATACACAAATGCAAACTATTCTTTAAGAATGGAGAGATGAACATACATTAAATAAAACATTTCTTATAAAACTGTGTGTATATTTGGTTTGTATTTCTTAAAATACATTTTGCACATTTTTCTAGGAGTCATTTCTGCTTTTACTCCATTTAGCCTGCTCAAGTGTATTTACCGTACTGAAAAAGTATTTCTAGTTCATTTATACACACTGAGATGAAATTATTGTCTTTGTTGCCACAGTGACAGACAGTCAAACTTACCTTCACCTTTATTGCATTGCCTGACCAAATCTTCTGATTCTACCACTTCACCCGGCCTGAAACATAAATGTAACTATGTGACGAACAAGGGAGAAGGAAAACGAACAAAGAAAAAGCCAACTGCTTCTGTGTCTCCTCATATGTCTTTATGTGAATATGTGTTTGTGTGTGGCATACTTCGCCATAGCACAAGCTCCCTCTTTATTCCTCCATACGCAGCCAAGGCCTCGGGCACGTGCACACACCTCGCAGGTAGAGTATAGAGAACAACCCACTATGGGTACCTTCACCAGAGAGAGAGGAGAGCCCACCAGAGCCTCATCCTACAGCAGAGACACAGAGGGTCAATGCATTCACTCGTCTTTAAGTTAAAGATGCACTATTGTTTTATAGCACAAAAAACTACAATAAAACAATATAAAAACTGCATGTTATTACTTTGTATAGCAATATGTTATTCACTGGCTCCTGTGCAGAAAACAGGGCGACTTCTTCAATAAGAGTTGCATTTGGACCAACTACAGCGACTTTGTGTAGCTCTCCATGATCTATAAATACACACACATGTATATAAACCACACATTATTAAACTGAATCAAGCATTTCGATCCACACTCGGATGACAGTAAATTACTCAACTGTTTAATCTCTCTTACCTGTTCCAAGGTGCAAAACAGTGGCCGTTTGTTGCTTCGTGTCACTGGAGGGCGTTATTAAGGTAACGGCAAGTTTAGTGTATGTGATGCCATTTCTGATCATTAATGGTGCCGCCACCACACTGTTCTCCATGAGCGGGTGATCACGCGTGAACGTCAGCACTTTATCAGGCAGCTTCAGGGAGGACTCAAAGCCCTGCTCTTTCAGAGCACTATTCAAACACTGAGTGATCAAAGAAGAGAGGAAATGGATTATTAAAGATTTAAAGCCGACAGTAATGATACTGAGTGAAACATGACGCTAGCAAGGGGTTCATTATCCCTTGTGAACACAAATACTAATAATATATATAACTTGTATACTGCTAGTTACTTTGGATTAACCTGTTAAGTGTCACCCCCCCTTTTTTTAATAGACATGAAAATGCACATTTCGAACTTAAATGGTTGTAATTCAAGAATGCTTTGGAATATAGACGTAAGGTTGGTCTTGTTTTAAAGAAGACATTTGGCAGATTTTTGTAGAAGTTAAATAAATGAAGAAAGTGAAACAGAAAAAAAGTTATAGAAGTTTGAGTTTATGGAAATGTACAATGTAAAAAAATGAATTATTCATATTTTATATGAAATATATATTTTCAAAACTTAGGCTACTCTAAAACTGCAGAAAAATCAAAGCCAAAAATCTGAACAAGTTGTGTTTAAAATTTTAGATTGATATCTTAAAAAAATGAGCTTTCAGTAAGATTTTGTTTGGGCGCAGTACCAAACTTTTTCACTAGGTCACAACCAGACTCCATTACTGCCCATATAAGGGCACCTCCATTTCCATATTTGTTTTGAGTGATCTAAACCATTATTTCCACAATTTTCATAATTTATGAAGTAGACATCCTATTCAGAAGTAGAATGGGAAGTTTGGCATATTTTGATATGAATTCAACCTCTAAGAAACATTCAAAGAACACGTATGTGCATTATAGCTCGCTGCCACACCACACATGGTGAATTTATTCTTTTTTTCTTTATATTTAAAAAAAATTCAGACCTTTTTTTCTAAAATAATTGAAAGGATGCTATCTTTTGAACTCTTGGCATGAAAACAAACTGAGGTTTCTACCATTTTTTCATGATTTTTCATGTTTATTGCTATTTCAAAATAAAGGTCTGAACACGCCTTAGGAGTATGAAAATATTCTTGTTGCAAATTGATAAATTACGTCTCCTCTGTAATTTATTTTGAAAATCAGTCACCAAATATGGAAACTAGAGATTGTAAGCTTTCAAATGATATTACTTAAATTACTAATTATTACAAGTCAATATTACTTAACGTTTTTACTAAGATATTATTTGTTTTAAAAATATAATGGCAAACGTCCCACCTGTGGGACGGTGACGTGTCTACCAAATACATAAACATAAAGGCTGGAATACACTACACAACTTGAAAATCTGTACAGATTTTAAAACACTAGATATCATACACTTGCTGACTTTGTAATTGGTTACAGAGAAAAATGGCATCATACACTAAAATACTGAGGATCACATTCTATCCCACTATCAAATCATTCCAAACACATCAAACTCACACAGAAACATGCGCCTCCTTGCTAGGAGACGCATGACAGATTAAAAAAAAACATGGATGTATAGTACAGGAACTGACTGCAGCAGTTGTTGAAGAAACTGCTCAAACAAAACTAATCAAGCTAAACGCATGTGGATGCGTCTTGGGTTGGTACAGTATATGTGGTCACACATAAATATGGCCTTTACAGATTGCAACGGGAACGGTAAGTGGCTTTATAGTAGGTTAGGTGTGTCATATACTACAATATGTGTTCTAAAATTGGCTTAAAATATCAAACATAGATGAAGTCTGAGGCCGTGCCCATTATACACTACATACACTACATTATACACTACACTACTTCGGCTGCCCAAAATCTGCAGACTGGTTATGACTTTCAGCAACTATCACGGACTCCTCCAGGCTGCAAATCAGGGCAAAAATCTGAGCAAAAATCATATAGTTTATTCCAGCCTTACAATGTATAGATTACATGTATTTTTGTATTATAATATAGCATAGCATTGTTTTGCATTGTATTGTATTATATGTATATATTGCACAATATTACATAGTATGGTACTGTACTGTATAAGACTGCATTATATAGTATAGAATAGCACAGTACAGTATAGACTAGTATTGTACTGTATTTCATAGAGTAGAATGGCTTAGTAATGTATATAATGTATCATATAATGTTTTATTATGTGATAAAGAATAGCATATAGTATAGTACTGCATTGTACTATATGTATTGTATCATCTAATGAATTTAAATTGAATGATTGTACAATACAGTATTGTATTCCTCTTATATTGCAACATGGATGTATTTTTCATTTTTCTTTGAATGTGCGAGACTTTTGATTCATTAGCCGCTAAAGGTAAATAACTACAAGAATTACAAAGTGGTAAATGGTAAAGCTATCTGCGCTACAAACCACCATGTTTATAATTACAACACATTAAAAGAATATGGTAAGAAACACCAGTCCGCAATATCAAGCAGCATAACAAAGCGTTTTTGTACAGCTAAAAATAACTGGAAGCGAATGACACCGGAAGCCGAACATTCAATTTACAAATGACCAAGCACACTCTTACATTAAAAATAAGGTGGGAAGAGAAGAGTAGTATTGTTCTCTATGTTTCGTATAATAAAACAACGCAATTTACTGTATGTATTGTATAAAACAGCATAGTACAGTACTGTACTTTATGTATTGTACAATATTATATTCTATATAGAATAGACTAGTAAAGATCGCAGCCTAAAGCGTCATTTGCTAACACGGCTCTTGAGGCCAGGGGAGTGAGGTTTACTTGCACGGCTCTTATTAGCTCTTACTACTAGCATATGTTACATGTATGTACTGTGAATAAAATAACACAGTATGATATAGTACCACCCAGGCCCGCCGACAGGGGGGGACAAACGGGTCTGTTGTCCCGGGCCCAGGGTAGGGAGGGGGGCCCAGAACTGGGCCCTCATTAAATTATGGAATAATTGTTAAAAAAATAAAATAAAATAGGCATATTTGTGGAAAAAATATCTAATATTTGAGTTACATAAAAGCTTTTTATTTGTTTTCTTCCCAATTGTCCTTGAAATAGTGGTCAAGAACCCCCCCACCCCCAAAACAAAAATGGTTTGGCCAGTGATCAAAATATGATGTTGTCATTTGATTTGAAGTTCAGTAGGCTAACGTTGCGCTAAAAATGTCCGGACAGCACAAGTCCGGTTATCAGAAAAGTAAAGAAAAGAAAAGAGAAGAAGAAAATAGAGAAAATAGGGCTGCTGATGTGGTGGCTGTAAATCCACTTGTTGATAAGAAAGGAGGAAAGAGCCACATATGGAATATTTTGGATATTAGCTCATAATAGCGACGCGGCGCGCTCGTTTTTACAGGCGCGCCTAAGTTCATTGTTGCATAGCAACGACAGACGCCAAGGGAGAGCAAACGCTTGTGGAAAGGAGAAAGCGGTGCAAACTGCGCTCTCCATGATGATGAGGAAGTATTAGCAAAGAATTCATTGATTTCTAGCCCTTGCATTAGCTTTACTACTTTACTAGATGAGAAATAAAAAGCCGGCTGAAATGCGTCACTGTCATCATCGGTGAACAGATAATGGGTCAGATCCGAGTCTATTTTTGCTGCGCTGCTCATGCTTAATTAAAAGTGAAAGCACACTTTTGATGGACAAAAAATAAATATGATTTCACACAAAAAGTGCCCAAAATGCACAGATTTTGCATGTCTAGTGTGTTTTAACAAGAACTGCAGTAGGCTATGTCAGAAAAGAAAATGAAGACATTTATAGAAAATGTACCCATTTAAACGTGTTTTTATTATTCAGTTTGGGTAAAAGTATATGGTGTTTTATAAAAATAAAAAAAAATTGTGGGGGGGGGGGGGCATCTAAGATTATCTTGTCCCGGGCCCAGGCAAGACTGTCAGCTGGCCTGGTACCACATGTATCGTATAATATCATATCATATGGTATGGTAGTAAGGGTGCAGTTGTATACCTGTCCAGGTCGTGGTGTTGGAATGGGCTCTGGGTTAATCCAGTTCTCACAGCTCTTCTTCAGCTCTTTAAAGGGTCCGTTCATCACCTTAGTGATCTCCTCCAGACTGTACACACACACGGCTGACAGCTCCTCTCTTTCCCTACACAACAGGACACACACAAGATCAATAGAGAAATGAAAAGCAAAGAAAGGAAATGATTCTGAAGAGATGAGATCAGCTCAGAAGTACAGGTCGGAGGGGAAACAGATGAAAGTACCACTGTGAGGTGAATATGCCATAGAAGTGTGTGCTGCTGGGGTCTCCAGGCTGGTGCTGTACAGTAAACACATCAGTCAGAACGTTAAATCGCTGTCCACTTGCTCGATCTTCACACACCAGCTGAGCCTTCAGAAACGTCGTCCACCGCCTCTGCAGAGTCTTCATACCACCTACATCAGACTAGAAAACAGAGCGAGAGACCAAAATAGATCAGGTGTGATATAAAATGGGTGATGAAACACAGACAGATGGCAAAGAATAGAGGAACTTTATGACTGAAGAAATATGAACTCAAGTGGAACAGTACAATTACGTAACATATCAACTGAGAGCAGAACTACTGTACAACATCCCTCTGAGACATCGCAAGCAAAGCCAGAAAAAGACTAGAGAGACAAGAAACACACTAGGTCTAGTTCCTACCTTACAGACCCTGGCAACTCTGGGCACTTTGACTTTGGTGTAGAGGTCATACTCTTTAGCCACCTCAGTGAAGAAGAAGTAAATTTTGTCGTCTTCACCAGAAGGATTGTTCTTCTCATCCTCTTGGATGAAGGCAGAACTGACAAACTCTGGATCTGAGTTCAGAAACAAGCAGGAGTCAAGAAGACTGTAGTTACAGTATAAACAATCTGGGTCAATCAACAAAATGTTGGCTTTAATGTGTAAATGCTTGTCTCTGGAATGATGGATGGATGGATGGATGGATGAGTGTCTTACCACTAAGCCAGTTGATTGATTGCTCAGTCCGGATGCGTTCCTGCTCGATGCCCGTTGCCCTGGAAATGTCATACATTGTGCCAAGGAAGTTACTTGTGGCGGCAGTGTAAAGGATCCCTCCTGAAAGAGAGAGAGAGAGAGCAGAAGGTGAAGAGCAAAACATTTTTTTAAAAGGCATTTTATTTATGTTTTTATTTCTTTTCTTTTTCATGAAGTAAAACTGCTTAATAAATACACTAAATAATGTCTTGATGATGATTAAAATATCCAGAAAGGTTTCTGCGAGGTTTAAGTTTAGGGTAGAGAAAGCATCATCACATCCTCAATTGGAGAATATATTCATAAGAATATTTATAAGTTTTAATTTAGGGTTAGGGTTTGGGTTCGCATATATAATTAGCTTTACAGTGTACAAAACAATAGACGTCTAGCGTATTATCCCCTCATTTAGATATAGTAAACGTGTGTTTCATACCTGCCATGACAGCGGTGTAATGCTGGCTGGGCTCAAAGGGGCATTTCCCCTTCCCGGTCTCCAACATCATGCTACCATCATCATGTTTCTCCAGAGAAAATGAAGAGATGTTCTAAATGATGCAAGGAACACAGACAAATGTAATAATTGTCTGTCCTTAAATTTAAAAGAAATGAGCAAAAATGGGATGAAGAAAGGAGTAATAGAGAGAGAAGAGAACACAGGTACACACTTATGGTTATATACCACAGGTTGAAAGCTGTCAATCATTCTAGGGTAAAAGGTTTATTGAAGGTCATCTGCCACAATCCGTACACACAGCATATCTATACCCGCCATATTTTGCACGTGTTGACGTTTCATCAACTGACACATTTCTATTTAACTGTCCTATGAAATAGATTGAGGATACTTGAGTCAGTGTAGTTGTGGAAACATGCACACTTACAATAAAACCACACTGGGGATCAAAGGCGAAGGTCCCGCAGGCATATATGCGTCCATCTTCCAAAAACTCCAGCAGGCGGACGTAGTTCTTGCAGTCATCCTGTGAGGGGCAGCAGAGTAAAACATGACATTGTGAGACATAACATTCTCATAACATTCTCTGTTTTTTTGTTATATTACTAACACTACTGTTCAAAAGTTTGAGGTCAGTACATTTTTGGGGATACTTTTATTCAGCAAGGAAGCATTAATTTGATCAAAACTGACAGTAAAGACATTTATAAGGTTACAAAAGATTCCTATTGGAAATAAATTCAATACTTTTGAACTCTATTCATCAAAGCACAAATGTTTTCAACATTGATAATAATAAGGAAAATGTTTCTTGAGCACCAAATAATCATAATAGAACGGCTTTTAAAGGCTCGTGTGACTGGATTAATGACTGCATAATATATACACTACCGTTCAAAAGTTTGGGGTCAGTGAGAATTTTATTTGAATTTTTTGGAGGAAAGAAATCAATACTTTTATTTATCAAGGAATAATTAATTTGATCGAAAGTGACAGTAAAGACATTTATAATGTTACAAAAGTCTTTTGAACTTCCTATTCATCAAATCCTCATATTATACTGATTTGTGAAGGATCATTTGACACTGAAGACACTGACACTGGTGATGCTGAAAATTCAGCTTTGATCACAGGAATAAATTACACTTTACTATATATTCACACAGAAAACAGCTGATTTACACTGGAATAATATTTAATACTATAACTGATTTTTGTTGTATTTTTAATCAAATAAGCGCAGCCATTGTTAGCAGAAGAGAATTATTTTAAAAGTATTTAAAATCGTACCGACCCCAAACTTTTGAACGGTAGTGTATATATATATAGATAAGCTTTTAGGTTTTATGTAAAAAATATACCAAGACCAATTTAAAAATGTAAAGCTAATTAATTGAGATTTAACTACCAATTACAGTCAAAGCACAAGGTCACTTGCAGCTTTCATTTTAATCACCTATTTGATTATTTAATGGTCTGTTATTATTATTATTCTAAAGTAGTGTTATAAATGTATCTTTTTCAAAGATTACAAACAATATTCTGGACCATTTCCAAAAATTCATGTGTCTAAGTAAGAGCACTGATGCACATAGTTGTGAATGTGTCAAGGTCGACTTTGAAACTGTCGCTGAGCAAAACAAGAGAGTTTCTGTATCAATAATAGTGATTGGTAACCTGAACCCCACTGGGCTGTATCTGAGACCCCCAGACGTTTTCTACAGTGAGACCTCCCCCATCTTCTATCATTTAAAGGGCACAGTTACTCGGTAATGATTGACATTTCACAGTAGGACAATTTATAAAGCACACATGAGGTTTTCTTGCACAGATGCATCCTGAACCTATACACCAGGCTGAAATTTTAATGAAAACCAGTTGGCTTGACTCGAAAAGTTTCCATTTCAGGACTAGACAGACCATTAAGTACATCAATAAAGATTAATGAGAGACCATTCTGTATCGATTCGAGTTTTCCATGTGTTGTAATCAAAGTGAATGTTTTCGAGAAAAAAATATTCAAATGTATTGTATATTGTATTCAAATGACCAGTCGCAGGTCTGCAGGGTCCTTATGCTCACTCTTTCAGATCTTCCTATTCCGTTTCCTCTCTTTCTCCATTCTATCATGACATACCTTTTGTTTGCCTAATCACACCCTTTCTGACCCTCCCCCACTGGGGCCTCAGCCCACTTGTCAATCATCCACAGGCCCCTCCTCCCCCCGACATCACAGCACTGAATGCTAACCACAAATAAGTGAGCTCATTAGCTCTCTCTCACACTCACTTGCTCCATGTGCCGCCCTAAGCTGAGAGAAAGACAGAGAGAATGACATGCACACAGGGAACCCTACTAAAGCCTGAACTATTGTTTTTATTAACAAGGTTTAAACATGAAAAAATGAATATTACTTTAGGAAAACAGATTTAAAATTATGTTCAGTACTCAAATAAGACTCGCTTTCTCTTGCTAACCCCTCTGTTTTTGGATACTTTTACTCATAGAACAAACGAATCAAAATGCTGACTGTTAATTTGTGCATTTATACAGTGGCATCCGTAACTGAGAATATTTGCCTTTGTGTGATGGTGTCAGGGAAAGTTTTATGACTGCCATATCGGTCGGTTAAAACAAAGCAAAAGTGTTGAGGGCACCCTTAAGAATATTCTTTAAAAAATAAACAAAGCAGGCAAATGATGGATTTTGGAATTAGGAGCTCTCCAACCCTTTCACAAGATTCAGATTTTTTGTTTGCTTGCTATTGAGCTCTTTACATCCCCCCCACTTAAAAAACACACACACACACACACACACACACACACACACACAAGGCTACATCATATGGGTTTACCTCGGTTTTCCCCTTAGCAACACAAGATTTCCTCCTGTCTTCTGGAACACTCCATTCAATCTACATAGATATTGAGAGAGAGAGAGAGAGAGAGAGAGAGAGAGAGAGAGAGAGAGAGAGAGAGAGAGAGAGAGAGAGAGAGAGAGAGAGAGAGAGAGAGAGAGAGAGAGAGAGAGAGAGAGAGAGAAAGAGAGAGAAAGAGAGAGAGAAAGAGAGAGAGAAAGAGAGAGAGAAAGAGAGAGAGAAAGAGAGAGAGATCAGTACTTCAGATTCTTCCCTGGTTAAAATGAAACTATGTCAGCCATGAATATGCAAACCATGTTCGGCCTGTGAAATGCAGAGGCTTATAACACAAGAGATTGGGAATTCAGTACCTGTAAATGTTATTTACTTGTTTAGCCATCACACATATTAACACATTTAGTCAGAATCCGAAATGTATAACATTTGTGGTCATTTACACAAAAGGAACAGTTCTCACAAAAAGAAAATAATTTGAGTAAACCTGTTGTGACATATTTTCCAAGATGTAAACTGACATCATATAAAAAATATTTTTTTTAAATTTTGTGTTGAACAACGGGGGACATTCAAGTAAAAAAAGTTGAAGTGAAGTCACATTAGACTTTTCATGGCCGATTCCAGATCGTGTGGATTCCTATCAATATAACTGGATTTCACCTGTAAACCTTGCTGAACAAAGATAAATATGAACACACCTACAGTTAAACAATTGTCACTTCTAGAGTTTGTCAGACTATGTCCGTATTGGACTGTATGTTTTCCTGCTCTTTACACAAACGCATAACAAATATGAAAAAATAAATCCTGAAAATATGAAATATTGAAATTATATATAAATTAAAGAGATAATGAAGTGATGTGAGATACATGAAACTAGCACAGTGTAGACACTGGTTATCAGAGACAACAGTCAAATACACCAATTCTATTATGAGAAATATCATCATTATACAAAAAGACAAGAACCCAGAATGCTGTATTCCAGAGAACCATGTAAGAATTTTGTATATTGAGCTTCTACACAATGCTATTTTTACATCTCTCACAGCACTCTGTGGTCTTTCTACTCACATAATCAAATAATTTCAGACCAAATCAATATTTCATGTTCATTTAATTATGTATTTATTTGGCAAATTACACCCCTTTATGATACAGGACCTGACCACCTTGTCTGGGTTGATTCAGTGAATTATTTCGTTTTTATTTCACTGCCCTTTACATAGAAATGAGGCTAAAATCAATTTGTGTTTGTTCTCAATAAGCTGAAACTATTTTAAAGAGAAATTTAAACCACAAAAATCTAAAAACTCTTTGCCTAGGGACAAGATCATTGCTTTTTAGCACAGGAAAAGAGTTATCATGATTTCAGTGCTATGATCTCACCACAGTAGCTCTCCTTAATCTTATAGGCCTATCTAATATTACATGACACTTAAGTGAGTAATTTTGCTTCCAGACAGTGAACAGTGCAGATGGAGGTATGGTGCAAGCATGTCCTGGGCTCGAACACATTCTGTGTGCTCGAGGGTAAACGGACGTGAAGCTACATTACAGTGTGTGATGAATTTTGACTCTGATGACAGGAGACAGAGAGAGGTGACTGCTGGGGGAAATGGGAGTGCCGTCGCGGAGGGATAATTTGGTTAGAGAGCTGCACTAGCGACCAGGGATGAGATCATCTAATTTAGCTTGATGAAAAGCGGTGTATTGAATCCTGTTGGGCTGTCTGTTATGATGATTATATGCGAGTATGTCGGTGGCCAGTTGGATATTGTTATTTGGCACAAAGCATTTTATGTAATGATTTAACTTAATATTCCACTTCAAATAAATGTCTTTTTATTAGAATTAAACAAACACAGCCATCTCTCTTATCATCTACAATTAGCATAAATGGTAACACTTGACAATAAGGTTAAATTTGTAAACATTACGCTACATGTTATACATTCGCTATCATGAGCTATCAACAGTAAATATACTGCAGAATGCGACTCCAATCTTCCATACTCCAGTCCTTATATTCTTTGGCAAATGCAAGGTGTTTATATTATATATATTTTATATATATATATATATATATATATATATATATATATATATATATATATATATATATATATATATATATTCGTGTCCATATATATATATACACTCTAAAAAATGCTGGGTTGTTTCAACCCATGTTTGGGTCAAATATGGACACGTTTTTTTAAACCCAATGGTTGGGGTTGGCCATATTTGACCCAAACATGGGTTGAAACAACCCAGCATTTTTTAGAGTGTATAATCAACTTGCATTTGACAAAGAATATAAGGACTAGAGTATGGAAGATTGGAGCCGCATTCTGCAGTCCAACAAGTGAAAATGTAACAACCTAGCATTGGATGGTGTCAGGTATGTTCGAAGATATTAAGATATTATTTTAAAATATAAGAAGATATTTTATAAAGACAGTCCACTCCGTGTATACAGACAGGAGCCATCTTTGGAAAACAGTCTCGACTAGTCAAACCACGAACGACGTGCTAAGTGAGCTGAACTGTATGAAGTTCAGTGAACTTCTGAACTGTATGAATGGCGTTCGTGGTTTGACTAGTTGAGACTGTTTTCCAAAGATGGCTCCTGTCTGCATACACGAAGTGGACTGTCTTTATAACATATCTTCTTATTAAACGGTCTGTACACTTACAAAGTTCTCAATGCTTCGTTTTGCATGTAGGGACCCTCATTATGTTACTGTGTTAGTGTGGGGCTATTTTGAGCCTTGTTAGTGGTATTAAGTAGCGATTTCTTTTTACTTATTAAATGCCCGCATTACTAGCGTTATACGCTAAACAGTTTTTAGAGATAAAACTCTTTACATTCGATTATCATGAAAATAAATCTCAGAGAACGGTCGACTAGGTACCCATGTTTTATTAGACCAAAGGTTCATTTTGCGCCGGAGTTCTCCTTTAAGTAGGACTGCAAAGACGTTAAGCATGACACATGCACAAAAGTTTAGTGAGTCAATATATTGTGCAAATATCCCCTCCGGACTAATTAAGATTAGTATATGTAAATTAACCGTATATACAGAAAATGTATTTATATGTAAGGTGTTCTGCAGGGATTATGTACTTTTTATAGGTCAACCTGGAAGTTGGCATCCCTTTGGTTTCCTCGATAAAAAGCCCACAGACTTTTTCTGTTGGCTTTTGCATTATTATCAAGCTGTGACATTCACTGCAAGAGAAAAGAGAGCTCACCAACTTCCTCTTTGATAGGTTAGCAGTATCCACGGCAATGATTGCATCACGCGCACCAAGGTAGAGCATCCCAGACGCACGGTCCAACAGGAAGGTGCTGAAGTTATATGTGCTCCTTAATTCAACGGAACCCAGCTTAGAAATGTCTACTGGGGGGAAAAAGAGAAGCATGGATTAAATATCAAAAGAATTATCACAGCAAGTTCCAGTAAATTAATTCATATAAGTCACACATATTAAAAATAAAAATAGACACTTTCTTCCTTGCATTCATGCACACACAGATTCATATAATGATATTTGCCACATCCTATACACTAGCCCATCCACAAACCTACTGATATGATCAAATTTAAAGCTAAATATGATTTCATCTCAAATAGTAAAGACACCTGAAGAAAAGTCAAGAAAAGTCTGTGAAGATATTTTCTTTCTTTTCAAGAATACACCTTTACATATACACACATATGAATGTCTGTTTAGCATCGGCGAGGATGAGTAATTCTGTTCAGATATGTATATTAGCATGTGGGTTGAGGCTCTGAAATTTTAATGCTGTTTAAGATGTGCTATATCTGATGCCCTGGGCAAATTTAATACAGCATATGCACTGCACTGCATTTAATCTGTTCCTCTTTATTTAAAATGTGAAGCACTCATTTTCTCCATTACCCTAATCATAACCAAGTGTGTATTTAAGAGATTAAAGAAATATATATAGACACAGCGAAAGAAAGAGGACAGCAGAGAAAAGTCCCGGAAAGTGGACAGATCACACTCATCTTGTAGTGTGATATTGTTAGAGGGACGATTTACAGTAAGTGACACTCTGTTCGAGTTTGTTCTTGCCATGAAACCAACAGAAATGTTATGTATTAAATGAACGCTCATTTCTTGAGCAGTTCAGACTGTTAGTATCCTGTGTCCCATCTGTTTAATGTCCGAACTCATGAGACGTCATTAAACACAGATTTGATGTGAAACAGAAAGGCTGTCTGTGATCGGCGACCTGGTATGTGTTTGCTTTTATATTTGTGCTTGTTTGTACTGACTGCAGCCATTGGCTCTAGATCTGAGCACATGTTATTAGTTTAATCACTTGTAATCGCTCTTCTACCACTCTCATCTCAGTCAATCATCCTCCATTTCTTCTTCTTCTTTTATTTGCATACATATTCTTTGTAGTTCTGGCCTGAAATAATTGGACAAAATTCTATCCCACACTAAAAACAATTCCTATGTATTAAGACCTTTTCAAACCAAGACTGAATGAATAAGAATGAATGGAATATTACATAAGAATGAATGGAATATTATCCACGTATAGGCCATCATTGAGACTGATTATTTTTACGAAGAGGTGTTGTAATCTTTTTTTCATTGGCCAAACAATAAGATCAATAAGCAAACAATAAGAATGTTTTGGTCATGTGCCCGAAGATGCTGCTGTTACATAATATACATGCTGTGAAATGGTTGTTCAGGTTTTCTGAATGTTTGCTTTAGCATTAGTTGGTTGATTACTGGCATTTCTCTTGAAATTCTAGGCTTCTAACAGGATATCATTTTCCCCATCATATCAAACAAGCACACGCGTCTATCTTCTTAAGAGGTGATGAACAGCCTTTAATACAGCAAGATAATCACCTCCTTCTAAAGCTAATATCTGACAGCTGTCAAGCCAAACATGTCCAGATATAATACCTCACTAATACACGATAGTACACCAGCATGTGCTTTGTTTAACTGCACCACTTTACCTAACAACACCTTACATTGCACATATGAGACTGACAATAACAAGCAACCATTTTTGTATGAAATGTACAGTAAAACCCTATATTTGTAAGAACCTCTGCAGACACAAATGCAAAAGGTTATGCAATGACGTAGGAAGAATTCCTCCGCGTTTTACTTTGTAGTCAGTCACCAAACCTGCTCTTCAACTTCAAAGTGTTCAGACTAACATACACACAGTTTGACAGGTGTATGATTGTTGTGTTTGGTGGTTGATAGCCAGAGAAAAACTGCTGTAATATTCAAGGAAGAATTGCTCATGCGAACCTGTTGAAATGCAAACAAAACAAAGATATATGGACATTTTCTCGCACATAATGGATTGTTCAGGGCATGATTGATTGGGCTGATTGGTTCTAGCTTACAGTTTTTCTAAATCCATTTGACACATTTCTCCAAACTTATGTCGCTGCTCTCAAAACAGTTAACACAGTGATCTAAACACTTTGTAATTGTCCTAAACAGATTATGTGTTTCATTCATTTTTTTTTTTTTTTTTTTACAAATTACAAAATCACATCCATAATTTTCTCAAAACATTAAGCACAAAATTCTCAAATGTTTTCACAATAGTTCATACAGCCAACCAAAAACTTTACTTGATTAGGAAAAGACAACTGCAACTCTATGCATTAATGATAAACATGTATTTTAAATCAAGTATTTATGTATCTACAGTTTAATATGTTTTTATTTTTTATTTACAGAGAACACACACTTGTAGTTTTGATGTCAGTATCTAATTTTGCTAAATGCATTATTAGAGTAAAATGCTGTATTAAAATGTGTAGTTATGTACACATTATGTAGTAAAATTGAACTGTTTGGCCAAAATAAGAGTGTTTATTTTGCAGTGTTAATTCGTTTGAGAACAGCTTCATTCATTTGGAGAAATGTGTCAAATCGATTGAGGAAAAACTGTAATTACACTATACAACATAGTGCTAACATGCTATAATGTGCTAAAATACACAATATAGTAACAATGATCTGAAACATATCTTGCTGTGTATGCATAACCCCATGCAGCACCCATAGATGCTGATTATTACTCTGCCAAAGTTGCCAGTGACTGTAACTTTAGTCAACTTATTGCTAAAATAATGTGTATAGAACAAGAACAGTAAATCTAAATGGAATAAAACAAACCAATTCGAGACAATTCCAAGCGGTGGCACCAAAAATATGCGTTTAAAATGGTTATGGCTATAAAAGCTGATTTGAAAAAACAAGTTTAAATATATGTACACATGACTGCACATCAAAAGAATTAAGAATATATTTATTTTGATAATGAAAATACTAATAACAGCAGTAATTATTATAATAATTATCATTATTGTTGTATTATTATTGCTTTCAATAATAATAATAATACTTGTAGCACCAGCAGTAGTATTAATTTTATTATAATTTAACAATAAAATAATTAAAAATTGATATTTATTGTTATTACAATGATCACAATAAACATATTGATCACTCATTTTTATAATAATAATAATAATAATATATATTATACATGTAATAACATAGATAAATAAAAAGACCTGCTTTTATTAAGTAATAATTTCAATATTCTTCTCATTGTCTCTTTTTCCATCCAACTCTCTTTCAATCTGTGCCTCATAACCTGCCAAAAACAAACTCCACCCTCTTCCATCCTTTCTAGCCGTCATTCCCAATGAATGACACAGAGAAGCGGAAAGCAAATGATGGAGGCAGTAGATGGAAACAGACAAAGACACTTGCTTCAGGCAAGGTCCTGCTAAATGTCATTGTGTCACACTCTATCCTCTCCCTCCAGGTCCCCCTGCTGCGCATACCGATGTGGTGTTGGTTCCTAGAGCTATAGACCATCTGCCCCCTATTCCCCCAAAACAAATGCCAATCAACAGTATGTCTGACCACTCATCTGTGAGGGAGTATGTGTGTGAGAGAGAATGACTGAGACAGACAGGTAAGACATATTTAGAAATGCTCAGCAGGAATGGATGCAAGAACAAATGTTCAAAATTCTCTTGCAGTCCAAAGGGAAGTTGAAATGGTAAAATACAGAGCAATGGATCTTGTCACTAAGGCTCCAGTGCTGCACTGTCATAGGCTGATACAGCAGCCAAAGCCAACCTCCAGTCATTAATCATTCATTCAGTCTCAGCACATTAATCATGAATGACAAACGAGAGCATAGGGGTAAAAAGAAGGGAGAAGAGTGCAAGAGTGAGTTTGGTGTGTTTGGTCTCTCCTCATAACGCTTTGTTAAAAAAAAAAAGAAATTGTCCTTTCCTGTCTTCTCATGCCCAAACTCCTAAAATCGTATTGATTGCCATCATTCCCTTTCCCTGTCATGCTGCACGGCCACACAGTGTGTTGAGTGGGCTGCATAAATGCTCTCTGATTGGCTCTGGCTGCTGAGGGATTTTGGGAATTGCCATTTTAGGAGGAGGGGGGTTCACTACTGCTGAATAATGTACTCTAAAACTGAATCTGTCAATCATAGAGAGAAACACTGAAAGGAAAGAGAGAGAACCTAAACAAATTAGCTCTGCAGTTTGTGGTGTTTAAAGCTCTCTGTTTTATGCACAAACATTGAATTTACATGAAATGGAAATAAAAATATTAAAACACTGAATTTTACAGATACATCTAAATACCGCAACCCAGGCAGGAAAAAGAGCCTCTACCTATTTATTTATTTTCAAAACTCCAAAATACATATCTAGGCTACTTTCAAATTGGTTTGTGAAGAAGTTGTTATCCTCTGCTTATTCACCAAGGTAAAATGAATACATAATCAGTGTAGGCTTTCTAATCAATGTAAATGATTATTTAAAAATTCCACATACGTATATGAATGAAACTAACCAGGAAAACCCCTTCATTGCTCATACAAACACATATTACTAACACTAAGTACACACTCATTCACCTGGTGTAATTTTCCGGTAGCCCTTCAACCTTGAATCATCCAAAATGACGATTCCTACTGTGGTTTCCCCAATGGGAATTTTCTGAAGCTCATCTGCTGTGTCAGGAGTAACAGAGAGAATAAAACGCTGAAGCCATTATTTATGATTTATTCCTCGTGATCGCTTCATGGTTACTGTTGAGACTGTAGATGCAGCTGACTTGATGAAATGATAAAGCAAAAGCAGCGTCAGGGAGAGGAAAAGAGATGGATTGAGAGAAAAGGGAGGGATACTTCTTGCTAAATGAATGCAATAAATTTTCTCTTGTGCATTTTTTTGTACACCATAAAAACTGGTGTGACTTATTGCAAAGGTGGGGACAGCACACCAGACTTGGCTCTAAATGATGTCACCGTGGGTAATGGCTCGCTATATAATTCTGA